TGAAAATAAGACCTAACCTGAAAATAAGCCCTAGTATGATTTTTCAGAATGCTCGTAATAGAAGCCCCACCCCAAAATAAGCCCCGTTAAGTGAAACCCCGCCCTCCACCATTGTGCAGCAATGACTGCACCATTGTGCAGCAATGATGTAGATTGCTGTACTTTAAAAAAATAAAACATCCCCTGAAAGTAGGCCCTAATGCATTTTTGGAGCAAAAATTAATATAAGACTTTGTCTTATTTTCGGGGAAACATGGCATCTATATTAAAATCAAAAGAGCTCTGGCCAATCCCTTCAAAAAGTAAAAGTGCACATATTGAAAAATAAATTGGGAACATCTCTTTGTTTATTCAGTACATAATAATTAATAAACAGATTCAGATTTTTGCAGGTTTATTTCTCCCATAAAGCAAACCGAGCATGTGATGAATGTCACTGTAATTACAGTTAATCTGAATTGGCTAGACAGAGCTAAACTGAGAATATGAGATTTTCTGTCACTGAGCCAGAAACCTGCTCAGAAAAGAGTCCTGGGGTATAGCTGTAGCATCTACTGGCCTGCTTGTCAGCTATGGATGAAAATTCCCATTAGATGCTTTGGATCAGAGAATTTGCAAAGCTGATTTTCCTAAGAGTGAGTGAGTGAGTGAGTGAGTGAGTGAGTGAGTGAGTGAGTGAGTGAGTGAGTGAGTGAGTGAGAGAGAGAGAGAGAGAGAGAGAGTGTCCATGAGATGAATGTGATAGAAGGGGAAAGCACCACCAATCCCAAGAAGGATTACCCGGGAATTCAAAGGTTGAATCCTGTCCAAGCAAGCAAAGACGATGAATCACCATTTCCCAACAGTTTCCCGAAAGGGGGAAAGCAGGCTTCTTCCCAATGTGGTGGATTGAGTTAAAAGAGGCAAAGCAGGAGGCAATAGCTAAGACTTGGTGGAGGAAGGTGGTGCTGGAGAAACTTTGAATTTAACTGATTTGAGTTTATCCCTGTTTTCCATGTTCACTGTTATGGTCCAAGTTTAATAAAGCCCATAAGAGTTCAATCTCTGGCTGGTTCATTTATGGAAGTCAAAATAAAGGAGGGAGGCCTTCTCAATTTGAAAGAAGGCCAGGGGTGGGGGCAAACTCTGGAACATTGCTAAATGGCCCTGCATAATATAACATTATACAGAAAATATTTGGTACCTAATTAGCCAATGCATATATACAGTGGTGCCGTGCACCACGACGATAATTTGTTCCCCTGAAATTGCTGTTAAGCGAAAACATCATCCAGCGAAAACAGTTTCCCCATTGGAATGCATTGAAACCCATTTAATGCGTTCTAATGGGGAAATTACCTCGTCGTCCAGCAAAGATCACCCATAGGGAAGCCATTTTCTGAGCGCCGATAAGCTGTTAAAGCATGGGTCCGAAAAACACAGGGCAGTGTGAGACCCGAGGCGAGGCTATAGAAGTCCTTGCCAGAGTGTCGTCCTCAGTTAAGAGAGAGAAGGAAACTCAGGCAGCGCCTACGACTTCTTGCGTCGCGTTCAAACATCAGGGGGTAGATACAGGGAATTTGGAACAGGGTATAAAGAAGATGTCTGTAGCTACCCAGACCAAGACAGAAAAGGTGGGAACCCGGGTGGAAGAGAGACCGTTGGTAGAGGCGGGGCATGGGGAGGTGGGGGGGGGGGAAGATAAGATACCCGGGGGTTGGGAATTAATCTGGGTAGAGGATCCCTGGACGGGGAGAAGTGAAAAGGTTAGGGTGCCTCGGAAAGAGGCTGACTACCGAAGAAGAAGAGGTTTGCTCCCCAGACCATCTTACTGGGGTGCAATAGAGGCTAGAGAGTGGAGGAGGTGTTTGAGGGAGGAAAAGGAGAAGGTTGAGAGAGAAGAGAGGGAAAGGAGAGCATGGCGTCTGGAGGAAGCTCGCCGGAGGAGGTATTCACCGGACCCTGGGACCCCTATTCTGAGGGAGCCGAGCCCTTCGACCTGGAGAGGGGAGACAAGGAGACCTTACCCTTAATTGAGGTGGACATTGAAGCGAAAGGACCGGGGGATGCTAACCCGTTTACCAAGGGACCTTGTTACCATCCAAGTTTCAACCTTTTTTTACAAGATGCATGGACACCCTCGTTTGACCCGTTGGCGGTGAGAGAAAAGAATGCTGACCAGTTGTTGATACTTCTTTATTTGACGTTCCAATAAACCCTAGTTCTGTTTTTCAAGATCATGCGCCTCCGGTGTTTGTGTCTGGCAAGCCTGAGGTAACCACTAATCCCTCACAGGCAGCCATTTTGCGGAGCTGGAAAAATTGTTGTCTTGCGAACAAACGGTTTGCGAAGCACAGACCTAATCGTCGTCAAACGAAAATTCCCCAGAGGAAACATCATTTTGCGATTGCTATAGCGATCGCAAAATGTCATCGTCCAGCAGATTTATCATTTAGCGGGGTCATTGTCACGCGGGGCACCACTGTATAGTTGCAACTCTTAAGTAAATTCTCTAAAGCAGCCATTCACAACCTTTTTTTGGTCACAGCCATGAACACGGTATGAAAGAAATATAGGCTGAATCAGGATCATATAAGTCACATAACAAACCTTAAAAGGTAGTGTATGAGGAATTGTTTCCAGTTTGTGGCCCCTTTCAAATATGCCAGGCCTCTTCAGGGGGCCATATGGTCCCCTCTGAGAATGGCTGCTCTATAGTAACACATATCCTTAATATAGATTTTAAAAATGAAATTAAAATTCTGTTTCTTTTTCAAACTACGCAAAATCATCATAATCATAATCATAATCATAATCATCATAATCATAATCATCATCATCATAATCATCATCATCATCAAAGAAATGCAGAGCTGAAAGTGATCCTATAGATCACTGATGGAGAACCTTTTTGAGCCTGAGTGCCCAAACTGCAACACAAGACCAACTTATTTATTTCAAACAGCCAACACAGCATGTCCTCTGGAGGGCGGCCGGGGGCACCTTTCCTATCTGCCCCAAACACAGGCAGGACCTTTGCCCAGGCTTCCTGTGCTGCACTCCGCCCCGCTCACTCACTTTCCTGCGACGCTGGAGCCGTAGTCAATGTGCACCTAGGGGCAGCTGGGCACAGCTCCTCCTCCACCTCTGTCGCCTCCTGCTGCTGCCACCTAATCACTGCTTCCAGTGCCACTCGCGGGCTCCCGTCCAGCGGGGGACAAGACGTCAGCGTGAGCTCGAACACATGCCCTGCCCGTGGCTGGTGGCATCAGCATGGCGTGCATGCCCACAGAGAGGGCTCTGCCTGCCAGCTGTGGCACACGTGCCATAGGTTTGCCATTGCTGCTATAAATCATCAAGTCCAACCCCCGTCAAGGAGGCATAATGGGGAACTGAACCCATACCTGAACCACTGAGCTATCCAGCACTTTTTAAGAGCATAATGACATAAGAATATTTGTACTTCATGAAATGCTTAATTAATTTTCTTTTTCTCAAACTACCCTTCTACTTAAGAATAAAAATGCTTTAAAGGTAGTCTGTTTAAGCTTTGTGACTATTAATTATTCAGCTAGTTGAAGCAAGCTGTTCATTAATGTGTTATGTTTTGTTGACTATTGATGCTAGGCATTGAGGTGGAACACTAGCATCAATAGTAAATTAGCAATCTACGTATTTCAAGTAGTACTTAATGCTAAAAGTGATGCACACCTCTCCAACTGCATACAAATCCATTATAGATTATACTTAATTTTAAGGTCTACATACATCAAGATTTATTATTACTGCCTTTCTTTCTTTTTTTAATAGAAAAGCTCATCTTTACTTACCACAATCCGTTCCATGAGAAACCAGACTACAAACTTCACAACAGCTTTCTGCATGGCATACAGGCTCTCAGATAGAGCTTCAAAAGCTGATGTGAGTTTTGCAGCTGCTTCTAGCCTGGGAATATCTTCTGCTTAGCTGATTTCCACTGTCAAGTAATAGCTATCAAAGGAAGAGCTATGGGCCTGTTCAACAAAAGGTCAGGAAATCAGCAGCCAAGACCCTTTTCCTTCCTTTCCCCCATGATACCCTAACAACATAATTTGTGGATTAGTTAGTGACTCAGAGCTAGATCCCCCAAGATAAATCCCTTTAATAATTCTCAAACAGGATGTGCCATGCATTCAACATGTATGAAGCTATAGGACAGAAGCACACAAATTTATTTTGCATCAAGTACAGATGTCAAGTGCAGCTTCCCATCTTCCGTTAATGATGACAAACTTTCACTATGAATTGAGATTCAAAATTAAAGTACCCCCTCAAAGGATATTTAGGATTTATAAATGCATCAGCTAAAGACTCTACCCTTTTAAAGTCACATTGCATTTTTTACTCATGAAATGTCAAAGAAAACTCATTTCCACAAAGTGTCAATCACAGAGAAAGCTATCACCACCACTCCCAACCAAGACCTGGCAAACTCATATACTAATGTGCAGCAATTAGTAATCCATTTGTTCATCCCGTTTAACATAATTATTCAGTTTCACTTCAGTCAAAGGTAGATTGCCTGAAATAACTTTCTACTTCAGATGAAAATTGTGCTACCAGTTTAAAAAAACAACTCATAGTACGAAGAATTATCAGTGAAGAGAGGGGAGGTGAGAGAGGGGGGGGGTGAGGAAAAAAGAGACAGAGTGTGGCACATTTGTTCAGACAGGGTCAGTAATAACAGAAGGGACAGCACAAACTCCAGTGTTTGGGATTCAAAATCATTGCTATCACACAATCGTTTGTGCACCCAAGAATGGTAAAGAGAGACTACAGGGCTCAGCAGGCGGTGATGGTCTGTAACCAAGGCAATAACTGGGCTCATTCTGTATAATTTGCAAACACCATCAAAAACGTGATTCGCATGAATGTTCAAAAAACAAGAAATGCCATAATCATACATAGCTGTGAAGTCAACAGGCTAGCTTTGAGTCTGCAGAGATTCAGCCAATTACAATGTGGAAATGAAAATTTCATACCTTGCTTGTTTTATCACCCTCATCAGAGGACTCCAAAATGCACAGTTCTGCTTCTTCTGGAGTTGTCTCGGCACAGTCTTGATTGCTAAAGAGCAAGTGTCCTGCCAAGAGGAGAAACAAGGATGAACAAATCGGTTCAATAATATTTCAAGAGCCCAAAACAAGAAACAAGGATATCTCACAATGAAACAGAACACCTTCACTTGTGCCAGCTGCATAGCTTTTCAATTAGAGAGAACCTGCAGTGAATACAATCCCCACTGGGAAATTTAAAACTTAACTTAAATGTCCAAGGGAGGCCTACTGTTGAAACAGTAACAAAATAGAATCCTGTGGTACTTAAACACAGGTTTTATTTGGCACCTCTTGTTTGGGTTACACCACAGTTTATCAGACACTTTGGATGAAGAGGGCTACACTCCACACACATTATGCCAAATCATATTAAAATTAAAAGGAATCAGCACGTGTGTTGAAATTCTGGTCCTTGGTCTGTCAGCTACCCAAGAACTGGGTTCTGCAAGCCAGTGAAAAGACAACAGGAAGACAGGCCGCTTAGCTCATTTTGAAGGGAGTTCCAAAATTAGAAAGAGCCACTGAGAAAGTCCTCTCTTGTGTCCTTAGCCTAGCAGGACCAAGAGAAGGACCTCTCCTCCAGATCTCAGAGCCTACCTGTATGAGAATATACTGTATTTTAAATAGCTCAAGCCCAAGTCATCGAGGACTTCATGTCACAACCAGCACATTGACTTTTGCCTGAGAACAGCCAATGGAGCTGTTGGGACAAGAGAGTTATATGTTTCCTCTAACAGTCTCTGGTTAACTGTCCGGCAACAGCATTTTGGATCGGCTGGACTTTGCAGAGGCAACCCAATGTAGAACACCTGACAGTAATCCAAAAGGGAAGTAACCATGTGTTATTATGGACAGATCAGACATCTCCAGGAACAGAGCAGTTGTTCTAGCTTTATTTCCCAAAAAAACAGGGAGAATGTAGCCTTATCTAAAACAGGACAAATCCCTATCCCCCTAAATTGTCTTTCAACTTGTGTGTCATCTGGGTGACACCTTCATCCAAATCATTGTTACTGATACCAAATACTCGCAGAGATCTAAAAGAGCTTTCTTGGATCAAATGGAAAGAAGAAACACAGCTGGTTGTCATCAGCATACTGAGAGCACCACACTCTAGACCTCTGGATGAGCTCTCCTAGTAGTTTCACATAAATGTGAAAAAGCATGGAGAATAAGAAAAAGCTGGTAAAACGAAGAGGCCAAGAGCCATGGCACTGAACAGGAACACACACCCCCCACCATATTTTTTTAAACTTGTTCCTCCACAAAGAATCAAAGCCCTAGTGGTAAGGTGCCTCCCAAATCCCATCTTTCAGAGGCAGCTCAGAAGGAGGGTATCAAAAGTTACCAAGAGGTCCAGTAGAACAAACAGAGAAGAAATCCCCATCCAAATCCTAGTATATGTTGTTTACCATGGTGAGCAAAGCTGTTTGTGTTCTATAGTCAAGTCTGAAGTCAGACTTAAATGGATCTAGATTGCTGTCTAATCCAGGAATCCCTGGAGATAACAGCCACACATGGTCTAACACCTGATGCATGAATGAGAGTACTGGAGACTGGACAATAATTATCCAATACAGTGAGCTTCAGGTAGGGCTTTTTAAATCAAGGTATTTTAGATAGGTTTGAACCCTGCCTTCTTGGAGTGTTGTGTGTGCTAAGTAGGCTCCCTCTCAGTATTCATGCTAAACATGCTGATACAGGGAGGGGGGTAAGTTACACATGCCCCAAGTTAAATGCCCATACATTCTATGTTAATAGTATTTAAATGCCTGCCTGCCTGATCAAAATATTTTACTGATCTGCAGCAGCATACACACCAAGGGAGAGGCTGATAAACAATTTAGTTTTGCCTAGGTTGTTATAATGCCCTCTAGTGCTATTAGATTTTTTTTTCAACACAGAAAGCAACATGTTGCATTAAGAAAGAGACAAGAATATATTCTAGTTACCAAATAACGCAATGCCCCTGTGTTTAGCTACAGCAAGAACAATGGAATATTAGATTGTCACTGTATATCACTCAAATCAAGCAAATCTCAAAATTCTGCTATTAAACCTAAACTATAATTCCCAAGTTGTGAATATATGTATGACCTTGATAAACTCAGATAAAAACTTTTGGGTTCCGGACTGTGAAATTTGGTATTGGCCTTCTAAGCATTAATGTTAATATTTAAGAATGTGGATTTTTCTTTTAGCTTGTATGGTTACTTGGAACATCTTTAAATAATATTTGTTAAATAATAATTTTAGTTAACAAATAATAATTTTAAAACCTAGCCACATGGTGCTAAATACACAGCTGCTTGTATACTCTAATTACTATATTTTCAAGAGTTTTTTTTTAATCAGAACATTCTCCTCTAGTCTTTAAAACATCTAATTTCTGTTGCCTTTTTTTTGTATAATTACAATCAGTCTACATTTTGAAATGCCTAAACCAGCCAGTGAAGTATTTAAAACAACATCTTATATCCTACCTGGTTTGAACAGCTTCAGTTTGTTGACGGTGAACAAAAGTTCCTTTAAAACCATGTTAAAATAATCCTCTCACCCTATTCTAAAGGAACCTAAAACTTTTTATAGCTATCTGGGCATTCTTTCCTGTTATAGGAAAAATGCTATAATCTACTTCCTGCAGTACAGACTCAAAACCCAGACAGAAAGCAATTGTTCATATGAATCCTAATGGACTGCCACAGAGTGCTTTTATTGCCTCTACTGGCCAAGAATCCCATGTACTTAATAACAGTTTGTATTCCTACAGCTGCTGTCTGAATGTAGTGTGCAGTACCTGCCTCATTTATGTTACCTTCATTCGAATGCTTATTATTCATCTTTATTTACCTATTCATTACATTCTGTACTTTATTGTTGGTGAAGTGTAATTCTGGAGAAATTTCAGACTATAATCTTAACTGTTGGAGAGTCATGATAAGCTGTCTGTTGGAACTGGAGGTGTGCATGGGCTACAAAAAGCATTGAATGATTTGGGCTATATAACAGCAAATTAGGCTGACAAATGAACAGAAACACTGGTTTCAAGAGTTTGTCTTCCTTCCATATAGAAATGAGCTGTGACAGTATGAACGAGAAAATTAACTATCCAAGAGCATTAAATCTTCCTATACAAAGTAGATGCCGGAAGAAGAAACTGAAAGAGAATCATACTGAAGGCTGTTTGGGACATTGGGAATTTCCTCAGTGTTTCAAGCATTTTTTGGCCTGGTAACAACAGGCAGAGCATGAACCTCCTCCTTAAACATATAGGCTATATCACTTCATTTAACTGAATGCTATTTCTTAAACATTAGATTACAACTCAGGAAAGTTGGCTACATGTGTAATCGAAATAATTAGCCTCACCACAGAACAGCAGCATTACTTATGGCAAGGTAAAGGTAAAGGTTCCCCTTGACATTCTTAGTCTAATCGTGTGCAACCCTAGGGGGCGGTGCGCATCCCGTTTTCAAGCTGTAGAGCCAGTGCTTGTCCGAAGACAGTTTCCGTTATCACGTGGCCAGCGTGACTAGGGAACACCGTTTTACCTTCCCACCAAGGTGGTACCTATTTATCTACAGTACTCGCATTTGCATGCTTCTGAACTGCTAGGTTGGCGAGGAGCTGGGACAAAGCGACGGGAGCTCACTCCGTCGAATGGATTCAATCTTACGACTGCTGGTCTTCTGACCCTGCAGCACAGAGCTTTCTGCAGTTTAGCCCACAGCTCCACCATGTCCCTTATGGCAAACTTGGCAAATATTTTAACACCAGAGGGCAGGGAGGAACACACATGTACAGAGAAAGCAGGAGAGAAGTTTAAGAATGGAATTGGATACTTTCCACCTCTAGGAGTATCCAAGGGAAATTACAGAAGGAGTTTAGATCTGCAGAATGAATTACTCAATTCAGAGCTCCATTGGGATAACAGGGCCATATAATTCTTACAGTAATCAGTGAGGGGCTTATGACAGGTCAATAGCTTTTTTTAAATCCTTGAATATGCCAAAACATGTGACTGGAATTTTACTTCACAGAAATGAAAGCACAAGGAATTACTGTAAGTTCGGGGTGTATATTTCTCCCTCCCCCATTCCCAATCTTAATGCTCACTGCCAAAAGCTGAACTCCGTCCCCTGCCTTATTTCCCTTTTACATCTCCTTCTGACTTGTACTTTCAACCACTCCATGGCCCAGCTGACCCCAAAGCAACTGATAGCCTCACATTATCTGACCGACTTCTGGTTCTTTAGACCCTTCTTCCCACCCAGGGAGGAAATAATCATTAGTCATGGAAAACAATACAGAGATATAAGACTTCAGCACAGCTGTAATTAGAAAGCAGCATGTAACTCTCCGCAAAAGGATGCAACAAAGATTAGTTACTGTGGTGAACCCAGAAAATCCTTTTGTAAAAAAATGAGTTGTTTTAATCTAAATGGCCTTTATCTCTATGACATCATCATTGTATCGGTGTTGAGTTCACAGAGCCATGGGAATGTTTGTGTGTGTGCATGTATTAAAACATTTTCTCTTTAATTTAGAAAAATAGGTGCTTATGTGAACATAGGGACTCCCAGAGAATACAGAAATCACTAATCCTAGCAATTTTGAGCACGGGCGGATTTTCAAGACCTGACAAGCTTAGAACCCTGCCTTGTTGTGTATCAGCAACAATCAGTGCTTGCTACTCAACTGTTCCCACCTGCAGCTTAGCATTATGTTATATAAATGAGACAGCTCCCCTTTTCATGTTTGATCCTTTCCCAACAAAGCGGGGGGGGGAATCTAGGGAAAGGGCAAAAAATAAAATAAATTAAAACAAAACAAACAACAGAGAAAGCTTCTCACCACCAGACAACGAGATAAATCATCAAATCAACTCTGGCTCATGTGAAGAGGCTACCCATGTACAATTTCCTACCCTTCCCTGTTGCTTTTCCATGTTAAAAACAAAGATAAGTGGGTCGAGGCTATACAATACATAGTTTTCAAGCACAGCTCAACAGGGCTCTTTATGTCTTTGAATTCTTGTACTAAAGGTTTATAGTGGGACCGAAATTAAGGGCACTACTTTCAGCATCTATGGATTCCAGGAATGTTCTAATACTGTACAGATGAACAGAAGACAATACTTTAAAACAGGACCAGTTCACAAATATTTTTACTAGTCCCCTGCTGGATAGAGCAGTAGTTGACTGAAGAAGTATGTTGCCTATATTGGTTAACAATACATGGTACCTTATTACAAAGCAGCAGCTCAGTCCTGGGTTAGGATATGGGTTATTCTACAAAATTGAGGGGTATGATTTAAGGCTAAGCTGGCATGCCTACCTATGATACCAAGATGATAAGCAATGCAAAACATTTAATTTACATTTGATCAGGAGAGCTCTGTTATGGCTTTGGAAGACAGTTAAGGCACAACATTATAGAAAGATACTGTTATGGGTAGCTCCATTACAAGCGTTATCTGATCCGGCAAGAACATCTCAAGGGAGAAAACAGGAGATATGCCGAGATATTAGATAGTGATTTTAATCTAAGGAACAAAGATGAACTGGCGGAACAAGGTATTATCTTAGATTGGTGGTTGATAAACCTGTTGAAATCAATATATGTAAAAGATAAAGCTACAGGGTTTCAGAAAGACAAAAGGGGTTATCCAGCCCCTTTGATAAGGGGTTGCTGGACTCAGAGGAAAAATTGATTAAAGGTTTATATAATACTTTAACGGAGCAAAAAATGGAAGATGAAATTGTGAAGGATTGCATGGTAAAATGGGCCCAAAATATAGGTCATAATATAGAACTAAGTGCCTGGTCACAAATTTGGGAATGAAATATTAAAATGACTAAATCTATAAATCTAAAAGAAAATCTAAACAAAATGTTTTGCAGATGGTATCTAACACCAGAGAAATTAACAAAAGTGTATACAAATGTTTCTAATAAGTGTTGGAAATGTGAAAAGAAAGTAAAGGGATCTTCTGTCATATGTGGTGGATGTGCAGTAGGGCCAAGGATGTTTGGAAAATGGTTCATGAAATGATAGAGAAAATTTTAGGGGTTAAAATTGCGTTGACACCAGAAATTGTCTTATTGAATATATTACCAACTACACTCGAAAAAAACAAGACTCACTTGACCTTACACCTGATAACTGCAGCTAGAATTGTATATACCAGTAAGTGGAAGACTACAAAGGAGCCGACAAAGAAGGTATTTATTGAGAAGATTTTGGAAGTAGCAGAAATGGATATTTTGACAGATACACTAAATGATAGGCTGGATAATGGGAACCTCTTTAAACTTGGATGAAATCTACACCGATTTAAGTAGAATAGATTAGATTAATATTATGTTAGAGAGTATAAGACAAGATGAAATGAACGGAAAATATTGAACGGAAAAAATGAACGGAAAATATCACTCTGGTTGCAATGGATAGAAAAGAAGAAAAAATACAATAAAAATATTTATTTAAAAAACAGCAATACATGGTACCCTGCAGATATTCCTTGATCTGTATGCATATAGGGACCTTGATCCCTTTTTACAGACAGTAGATCGAGTTGAATTATCCAGTGCATCATCTTGTCCGGAGAGGTTAACTTGCTTTCAACCTGTAATGTCCAATGAGGTGGACAGGGTGCTTGCGCACTGCTGTACCTGTTAACTTGCTTTCAACCTGTAATGTCCAAGAGGTGGACAGGGTGCTTGCGCGCTGCCGTGCCTTAGACCCTTGCCCGACTTGGCTCATCAAAGCAGCCAAGCTGGTAACAACAGAATGGGCCACTGCAATAATGAATGGGTCTCTCCAGGAGGGGATGCTTCTCCTTGCCCTCAAGGAGACACTCATTAGATCTATTTGAAAGTAATCTAATTTGGCCCTCAAGGAGACACTCATTAGATCTATTCGAAAGTAACCTAATTTGGCGGTGGATAAATTTGGGAATTATAGGCCCGTCGTCAATGTTTCTTTCTTAAGTAAAGTGGTTGAGAGGGTAGTGGCCGATCAGCTCCAGGCCCTTCTAGAGGAAACTGATGCCCTTGATCCATTCCAGTTGGGCTCCAGGCCACAGCATGGTACGGAAACAGCATTGGTCGCCCTGCAGGACGACCTCCTGAGGGAGGCCAACAGGGGCAATATATCCTTGTTGGTCCTCCTTGATATCTCAGTGGCCCTTGATACTGTCAACCACTGTACCCTCCTGGGGCAGCTCTCCAAGTTCAGGAATCAGTGGCCTTGTTTTGGTAGCAGCTCTCCAAGCTGGGGATCGGTGGCCTTGCTTTGGCATGGAGAGTGCAGCTTGGTGAGATGACTTCTGCTTTGTGGATCCTCAATTGTGGGGTCCCGCAGGGGTAGATCATCTCGCTAATGCTATTTAATATCTTTATGAGGCCACTAGCTGAGGTAATCCGGGTCAATCATCTCGCTAATGCTATTTAATATTTTTATGAGGCCACTAGCTGAGGTCATCCGGAGTTGCGTCCCTATCTAGATGTGGGGGCACTAACGACTTTGATTCATGCACTCGTAATCTCAAGAATAGACTACTGCAGTGTCCTCTATGTGGTGCTATGCTTGAGGTTGATGCAGAGATTACAACTGGTTCAGAATTCAGCAACCAGATTAATAACTGGGGTGAAGAAATTTCAGCACCTCTCCCCTATTCTGGCCACCCTTCACTGGCTACCAGTTCGTTTCCATATCAACGTCAAGGTTACGATGATAACATTCCAAGCCCTAACAGTTTAGAACCTTGGTTCCCAGCAGAACGCCTGCTCCCAGTCAGATCTGTCCGTAATGCCCATTCTTCACAGCCAGGGCGGTTGAGGGCCTTGACCCTGAAAGAGGCCCACAGGGAAAGAACAAGCCAGGCCTTCTCGGCGGTGGCCCCCACCTGTGGAACAATCTGCCTGGCACCCTCATTGGACGGGTTTAAATGAGCGTTGAAAACTTAGCTCTTCTGTCTGGCTTTCCCTGAGCATTAAGTTGCTGATATCTCTGCTTCCCTTTTATCATCCTTTTTGCCATCCTTTCATCATCCTTTCTACTATCTTTATAGCCATCTGTTTTAATTTATCCTACTAGTTACTGTATTTGTTGAATGTTTGTATTCTTTTAATATTGTTTTAATATTGTGTTGTTTGTCTTGTTGTTATTAGCCGCCCAGAGTGGCCTGGCTGCCAGATGGTGCGGGGTGTAAATCTAATAAATAAATAAAATAAATAGATATTCATAGGTGTCAATTCAATTCAGTCTTTACGGTCACAGACCTGATTAAGCATCCACAGGTGTGTGATTCCCCTATAAATGTTAGCTGGTTATGTACAGAACCCTGGTCTTCTCACTGGAGTATAGAGAACCTTTTCATCTTTGCTTTCTAGTTAACAAAAATAGTACACTCAAACTGGCACTCCATACTACCTCAAACTGGAACAATGGACCAGTTTGAGGTAGGATGCTGCTGACATCTTGTGGCCAAATATATCTATACAAGTGAAAAAAAGTTTTAATCCATAGAAGATAGTTGCCATGTGAAAAAAACCAAGCATTGTTTGGGAGCTTTCTCTATATGCAAATAATGTTAACAATTATTCAAAGCAGAATAATTTTGAGAGGAAGGTGGAGGAGCAGAGCACAAATGAAGCATAAAATTAAATCCCAGAAGGTTCTTATTCACAAAGAGAAGTGGGTATATTGCCCTAAACTTTTATCCTGCTAGTAAAATTCCTGTAAAGCTGAACTTGACATATATCCAGTTAAATTACAACCACATTCTTCTTTAATTGTTTCGAATATCTTTGATGAAGTAGTTGCACACATACCTGCAATATGCAGGGATGCAAATCTGTATTTCATCCTGGAATATGAGATTTAAAATTTTCCAAAGTTTTCTTTCCACAGGATGAGAATTATAAGATTGTGTGCATTTTTTGCATTTCAACATTTCCCCTCTGAAGAATTCTTAGAAGAAGGCTGGGGAATTTTTTTAAAAAAAAACTTTGTGTTTTTCAAAACATACAGAAAAATGTTTTTGTGCAAAACATTTTTGTTAATGTGATTGCTGATGAAAAAGCAGTATTAAAAAGTTTTTGACTTTTGTGTGTTAAAGTGAAAAGTGTTGCAGCAGTTGGCCATCTTTATTTGCTTTAATTCTATTTTTTGACAACATATCTTGACCTTCTTCTGTCAGTGACAAGAACAACTGTGTGTATTTATTGCTTTCTTATTTCAAACATCTCTTGTTATGATGAATCACTAAAGAGTATCCCTTCGCTCAGCCTGGTTCCCACTTCAGATCATAAATCCATAAATTTAGACAAAACTAATATGTGGCACTAGTTTCATTTGTGCAAGGATAGCCTTTGAGAATAGCATGCAACAATTTATAACCTACAAACTATTTTGGAAGTTCTTAAGCATAGCATGAGCCAAGTGTAGCAAGACGGAAACATGACCCCACTGTGCCAGTAAGCAGGAGTACCTTGGCTGCTGCTTATAGACCTCAATGGACTGTTGGACAAGTCAAGAGACGTCTCTGTACGGCGCGGGGGTAGCTGTGTTAGTTTCTGTCCTGCCCCTCTCTCAGGGTAAGTTCGTACTATAAGGCACAGAGAGGGCTGAACAAGAACATCTCTTAGCATAGTTGAGTTCAGGTCTTCAGCAGCCTTCTTATTAATTTCAACAATTTCATCACCAACTTTTAGGCCTGTAAAGAGAAAACAGAGGATCAAAGTGTGCCCCGAAAATTACCCATAACGCTCACATTTCTATTTTGCATTTGAACTTGTTGGCAGAGGGGTTAGACATGGTGTTTTGAGATAAGAAATGTTTTATTACGGGTCATCAATAAAGCCTTTTTTTGACAGAGCTTCAAAGTTTCCAGGGTGAGTGACTTCAGTGAAGTCAGTGAGAAGGATCTGTGAGTAGTAATCCAAAACGGACCTTTTCCAAGTTCTTCTTCCAGTACATAAGCCATAAAATACTCCTTTGAATGTATGTACACCAAATGGTGGCAGCGAAGCCCCAACAAATGCAGGTGGTGACTGAAGACCCACCAGTGTCCTCAGGCTTTGCAAATGCCACTGCTGCTGTTCTACCCCTGGCCTGGACTTTGGTATCTGTTCCCACCAACTGCTCAGTGAATGGGAGTACCTGAGCTTAAAAATATGTGGAAGCAGAGACAAAAGGACCAAAACGCTCCCTCTGCAATTTGGTATTCTTTCTTCATTCCAAACATTGTGTAAGTGACTATTATTTCTATTTTAGGTAAAGGTTCCCCTTGACAATTTTTGTCCAGTCGTGTTCGACTCTAGGGGGGCGGTGCTCATCCCCATTTCCAAGCCATAGAGCCAGCGTTTTTGTTCGAAGACAATCTTCCGTGGTCACATGGCCAGTGCAACTTAGACACAGAACGCTGTTACCTTCCCACCGAGGTGGTCCCTATTTATCTACTTGCATTTGCATGCTTTCAAACCGCTAGGTTGGCAGGAGCTGGGACAAGCGACAGGCGCTCACTCCGTCACGTGGATTCAATCTTACAGCTGAAGATCTACAGACCTTACAGCACAGAGGCTTTTGCGGTTTAACCTGCAGCGCCACCATGTCCCTTAAGTAAACTTTAAAACCTTGCAAAAACACTCCTTAGATTTCACCTACATGCTGATTCAGCAGTAGAAACTAATATTGTTGTCATTCATTACTGTCACCCAGAGGAAGTCCAAACCCATTCATGTGGGAGATTTCTGTTTTACTGATAGCAAAATTAAGATAGGGAATTTAATTTTTCTATCTGCATTTCACTCTTTTGTCATTATTGGGCCAAAATAAATTTACAACATCCAGAAAGGGGCTATGTAGTTGTCCATCATCACTTTCCTCTTACCAGCTTTAAAAATGACATTACAAATCCTTGTACTTTTAAGAGAAGGACTGAAGGCTAAGATAATTGGGAAGAAGCTGTGGCTGCATTTTTTTGTAGCCATGCCCATATTATTTTTGGCACAGCAGAAGAGATTATAGCACAATCTTGGATGGGAGAAAAGGGAAACAACTAATTTTGTTGGACTCCAAAAATATTTTTGAGGGAAGACAACATCTCTCCTGGTGTCAAACCTTTTTTGAAAGCCAGACCCGTCTCTTTGACACTGTTCACATGGAGCCGGCGAATCCCCTCTTCTTCCACAGAAGACAGAGAAAAACCTGTTAAAATATGCAGTAATAAAACTGAGAAACATTTGAATTTATCTTGCAGTGAAGATTAATGCAATTATCTAGAATTAAATACTTGTTCTGCCCCAGTAAAACAGTTCATTTATGATACCAGGCTGTATCAACTCTCTCTCTCTCTCTCCTCTCTCTCTCTCTCTCTCTCTCTCTCTCACACACACACACACACACACACACACACACACACACACACACACACACACAGAGAGAGAGAGAGAGAGAGAGAGAGAGAGAGAGAGAGCAACAATCCTGCAAGCATCTTATTCACACAAGTAGGTCTCCAGATTACACTACCTCTCTCCCAAACAACAGTGCTTCATCATTTTTGTTTAGAAACATTACAATTCTGTGTTCCAGATTTTCCATGAGTAGATAAACTAGGTAGATGAAATAATGAAATCAATTTAACTTGCACTCAGATGTGTGCATAGCAAGAATTTTTTTTAGACAGACAGAGAGACAAATAGATAGACAGTGAGAGAGAGAATGAGAGAGAGTGCTCCTGGCCAACTAGAATTCAACACTGAAGATATAGTGGCCTACTTGCCACCAAACACAATGTCTTCTATTCAGCCTCTAGATCAGTGCTTCTCAAACCTGAGTCCCTAAATGTTCTTGAAATGCAATTCCTATAAATTATATATATAGTATTACCATCAGCAGTACTAGAAGGAAAGTATAAGAAAATTCTCAACGTAGATGTTCTTGTAATTTGGATGCAATAGAAACAGTTACGCATATATTCCTGTCCTGTCCTTATTATGTTGATATTCGAAGAAATTTTATTGAACCTCATCTAAAATTGCTCCCTGGCCACTCTGAGGCTTTTAAAATGTTTTTATTGATGTCTGGACACAATATAGATATCTGGTACAATGTGGCGAAATTTCTTGCAGCTGCTGTTAAAATCCGTGAAAGGGAGGTTTTAAAAATTATTTGATTTTAGTTATTAGTGGGAACCTGAAAGGGAGACTAAGCTAGCATAATGTATTACTATGTTAGGATGCTTATAACTTAGTACATGTTTTTATATGTGTGTTTTACTGTTTTCTTTAACTTTGTATGTTTTTATATATGAGTTTTACTGTTTTTTGCACACTTATTTGTATGTTTGGATATTGGTCTATGACCGTATTAAACTTGATCTGATCTATATACAGTATACATTGTTTAAGCTTTGTAGTTACATGGGGGGCATAAGAGTTAATATACATGGATTTTGAACTACACAAGATTCCGGTGCCCCAGCCCCAGGTTTGTTGAAGGTATATATAAAATCTGCAAGTTGGCTCTCATTTGATTTTAATTTGACTTCACAACATTCATAAAGAAACTCAGCAGTATTTTTTAAATGAGAATTTATTGGATAGAGTGTAATGTTGGAGCATGACTTAAAGATATGTGTTTCTAGATTTAAATGAAAAATGGTTAATATAGTGGTGCCTCGCTAGACAGTTACCCCGCATGACAGTTTTTTCGCTAGGCATTGACTTTTTGCGATCGCTATAGCAATTCGCAAAACAGTGATTCCTATGGGGGAATTTCGCTGGACAATGTTTGGTCCGTGCTTCGCAAACCAATTTTTGCTAGACGACGATTTTGACAGCTCCCTCCACACTCACAAACAGGTGTTTTCGGTATCATTTCAATGCATTCCAATGGGGAAATGCTTTTCGCTAGACAATGATTTCGCTAAACAGCTATTTCAATGGAACGGATTATCATCGTCTAGTGAGGCACCACTGTATAGCTATAAATGACCAGAATTTATTTATTTATTGAATTTATATCCCACCCATCTAGTCAATATACTACTATCCATATATAAAAACTGTTTTAACTTTTGTTCAACGTAGGTATTGTAAGACAGAGGCTCAACTGGCACACATCACTGTGATTGCAAGTTCACAGGCACAGACATCCTAAGCAGCCGAGGGAAGACGGCAGAGTAGCAGCTCTCCCACAGCATCCAAAGCCCTGCCAGCTGCCACAATCAAAGTAAAGGTTTCACTGGGATATTCAGCCTGGTGGAGAGTTATATTTAAATCCCACTCTTGAAAGCAATGGGGACGGCAGAGCAGCGGCTCTCCCACAGCATCCAAAGCCCTGCCAGCTGCCACAATCAAAGTAGAGGTTTCACTGGGATTTTAAGCCTGGTAGAGAGTTATATTTAAATCCCACTCTTGTAAGCAATGGGTGTGTGTGTGTGTGTTTAGTAACACTGCCTCTGTTTCCACATGGAACACTCTATTTCAGGGTCTTATGTCAGGTGCTATTGGCAGGACACTGCCAGCAGTAGCTTCCTGTTGAGTAGGATGTTGGACAGTAAGGCAAGATAAGGGTCTTATGTCAGGTGCTATTGGCAGGAGACTGCCAGCAGTAGCTTCCTGTTGAGTAGGACGTTGGACAGTAAGGCAAGATAATCCTCACTGACTGAGCTTGCCTCCCAGGACAGAGGACCAACTTAATCCTCTGGATTAGGCAACACTGGAAATTAGCAAACTAATATTTCTATTTAATGAATATACTTATTTTATATTTATTTTATCTCTGATTTATATGTTTGCAAAATATTCTTGCCTGCGGGCTTCTTTATATATTTAGGAATTTGCTATTATGATGAAATCAACTTACAACATAAAAGAAAGAAAAAGTACTTGTTTGAAAACAGATCTATAGAGAAGTTATATTTTTTCACATTTTAAGTTTAAACGCAGGACTCATAACAAATTTGATTTTATTGATTTGAATTTGAAATTCATAGAAAGATTATCTGTTTTGATCCACTATTTCAGTTAATGTCATTATTATTTTAATTATTTAAAAGCCCTAGAATCTTGTTTTTGTTAGATTTTCTGCCTTTAAAAATTGTTATTTGAAAAATCAGTTTATTGCACATTTCTGTGGTTGTGTTATGAATGTAGAAAGAAATATACTCTGAAGGAAAATATATGCAAAAAAATGGAATCAGCAGTTGATATCTGCATTTGTCTTTGTCTTGGCTTCAAGGTGGATTCAGTTTCTCTCCCTCACTCCTAAGTATGTAGGATGTAAATACATGTTAACTATCATGCATTATTTATTACCAAGACTCCTTTAAAATGTGGGCATTTGCTGCTCTGAATTTCAATAGCTTCCTAGGGATATGTAGCAGCAGCTTGCCTTTTTGTTTACTAAGCAAAATATTGACAACTCTCATGGGGAAAATACATTTAACACACACTTGGCCATCAGCTATATGGAGCCAGATGTAATAGGAACTGATTCTCAATCAAACTGAATGCAAAGTATTTTTAATGAATTGAGATATATTTCCATGTGTCACTGTATGGCTTAGTTTATGGTTTCTGTTATTAAGAGCAAACAAATATTCAAACAATTACATAAATTTGGGAGGATTAATCATAATTAAAATACCACTTTTTTATTTCTTCATGTGTAGAATACATTTGATAATATTAAATGTTTTTTCTACTTGACCAGCATGAAACTACTGGCCAATACTTAATCATGGAATATATACATATATGTATTATGTACACACAGAGAGAGACAGAGACAGAGAGAGGCACACACAGAGAGAGAAAGAAAATCTGAAACCAGAATAGTTACTAATTGTTATATTGGTCTGACCACCAACCTGACACTGTTGTTAATAGAGCAAACAACAAGAGAGCTGTTAATAGATCATAGGTTTACATACAAGCTAGATATGAATCCTAATCGGTAGGGATGCAAAGGGCACATTTAGGCCCATTTTACTTTGTATATGTGTTTGGAAACATTTCTATGTTTTTGGACTACATTTCCCAGAATTCATCAGCTAGCATGGCTTGTCACCCTCCTGGTAGGAGGATTTTAGGAGGTACAGTTCAAAAAAGTGACTCTTGTAAACACTGGTAATGTTTAATGCTTCTTTTGAAATGGGGAATGGAAAAGGAAAATATAATCTTTTTAAAAATAATCATGAGAGAAGTCTTTATTTATTCAACTATAAATAATGTTACACAAACTTCAATATCATTAAATGATGATAGTCCGTAACTCAATTCCCCCTGCAACTTCTGGTGGCATCTTTCTACTGCTTTCCTTCAGCAGAAAGCCTCCTTTCAGTCATAAGTATTTATCAGATATCGTATATGATTTTTTAAAAAAACAATGTTATACACTTCCATTAAAAAACACAGTATGGGTATTAGAAGCATATAGCAGTAATACTATCCTATTCAGTAGAACACTCACTGCTATTTTGGAGATACTTATCTGAAGTCTAGAAGGTCATAAAAGGATATTCTTTTTTAAAAAAGCTTTTAAACAGAAAGCATTTCAATGGGTATTTATAATCTTTATAACAGTATTTAACAATGAACATAAAATTTAGATCACAAGTTCTAAGAGGTAAATAATGCAAAGCTTGTACAGTACGTGAATATTAGCTTAAAAGAGTACTGCTAATCCAGTTGATGCATTCAGTAGCAATATCAGGTGGTAAAGCAAAGTCAATTGATTATATATTTATGCTGCTTTAATAAAAAGAACACAAGCAGCTCCTACCAACAATATGCATGTCATTCAGTGTCAAAATCCAGCTAATAAATATTCATCATTCAAGGCATTTATTTACAAATGGAATCCCATATTGCTAGTTTGTACCAGACATCAGGAGTATGCCCTTGCAGCTGCATGATAAGTACAGTGGTGCCCCGCATAGCGACATTAATCCGTTCCGGATTAATCGTTGCTATGTGAAAACATCGCTAAACGGAAAGGAAAATCCCATAGGAATGCATTAAACTTCCCCCTATGAGGGATAAACTCACCGTTCAGCGATGTTCCTCCATAGGGGCGGCCATTTTCACGCCCTCGGTAAGCGAGGGCAGCGAAAATGGTTGCGGCGGCCATTTTGGAACCGCCGATCAGCTGTGTGAAAATGGGGCCTTTGTGAGGACCAAAGCCCCCATTTTCACACAGCCGAAGTGCTTGCGGCGAAAACACCGCTAAAAAAAAAACACAAACACAAACCACAAACATAACCCCCCCAGTCCAAACCCCCACAAAAAAATTTTTAAAAAGGACTTACCGGTCCAAAGCCTCCGGGCACTCTGCTGGCTCCTCGCGGCTGGGGGCGAGTGGCCAGGAGCCTGGCCTGCTCTAGCCTCCCGCCCCTCCGCTGGTTCCGCACGGCCGGGGGCGAGCAGACAGGGCCCCGGCCTGCTCTAGCCGCCCGGAGCTCCGCTGCCTTTGGAGCTTTCAAAGGGCTTCCTCCAATGTTGAGGAAAGCCCTTTGAAACCTCTGAAGGCACCAATCGTGGCGGTGAGGACCCCCAGGGAGGTCCCCCATGGTGGCGTGCAAGCCCTGGGAGACCTCCCTGGGGGTCCCGACCGCCGCGATGGGCGGCTTCGGAGCTCTCTGAAGCCAAAAAGGCAATGAGAAAACACGGGAAGTTTGAACTTCACGCACTTTCTCCCTGCCTTTTTGGCTTCGGAAGCAAGCCGGCGGCCAGAGAGGAATCGTCTCCCTCCTTGAAAGCAACGCTGGGTCCTCCTCCCGCTGGGCTGAGCTTCTTAGGGAGATTCAGTCATGACATGGTGATTGTCGGGACATCTCAACACATTTGCTCCCTTCCCCCTCCGATTATTCCTCCCCAATTAATAAGAATGGTTGATATTAATAATACTTCTGCAGGTCCTGCCAAGCCAGTACCACCTGCCTGCACCATGAGTGTACAAGGAGCCAAGAATTTAACCCTATTTAACCATATTAGTGGGGGAAACACTTTCCAGTGAACCAGTTGTTTTACCTTCTGATAACTGGTTTGACACTCTGACGCTTCAGAGCGGCCGCGGGAGAGACCTCGACCGTGGCCGCTCCGACATGCCCGCCAGGGTTCTATGGGGAAAAATCACAAAGCGATTTTTCCCCATAGGAAACATTGCAATGCGATCGCTTTTGCGATCGCAAAAAACGAATCGCTATGCGGATTCATCGTTAAACGGGCGCTCGTTATGCGAGGCACCACTGTACTTTGTGGATCTAAATGTTTTAACACTAAATCATAGCAATCTGGTTACATGTTCATGATGCCCATTATTGCCTATTGGAGCAGACTGGAAGCACACTGCAATAAAAGAACCACACTCAGAGAAGGACTCTAGGAGTTGCAGTCCTCAAAAGGTAACATTTAACAGTTCTGTCATTTAATGATATGGGAGTTTGTTCAGCCACAGAAACCTGAAAAAACTGGAAAATGAGTAGCTGTTTATAAACAGGTGGGTCTCTCTTGCAGAGTTGTGTCTGTAAATAAGTGAGACTCTTTCTCAGGCTTTCTGTCTAACAAGACAAGCTTGTCTTGTTAGGCAGAAAGAAGATAAATAACAAAGATAAATTAGCAGGATTAACAACAGTCTCTCTTGGGGACGGTGCTCAGCATTGTTCAATGTAAAAAGTTTTGGAGGGTTCTGTTTTTTAACACATGAGCACCTTGTTTTTCAAGACACCTATGTTGAAAGACATGTGCCCCCCCCAAAGGAAAGAGTTGTACTCAAAATCGAATCCTATGAAAATTTAATACAACACATCAAACAAGGTGAAAAAACTCTTGCTAAAATGCTAGGTTTTCCATGTTTCATAAGTGTGTTTAATATCCGTACACATATTCTGACAATATAACAAAAGCTCTTTAATAAGTAACTTGGGAATGAAAATTGTCATAAACAATTACAGAATACTTACTCAGTAAACCATCTAAAGGTACATTAAAGATTTTAATATTACATATCTAAGACTCGCTATACGGGGCACCACTGTATTACATATCTAAGGAAAAACTATTAGATATTAAAAGACAAATATTTACGGTAAAGATCTACAAACTCACCATAGTTATCAGACATGTCAGATTTTTCAATCTTAATTTGTTGTGTAATTTTCTCACAGATTTCAATTTCTTTATACAGCTGGAAAGCAATAAAGAAAACAACAAGATCCTGTTATGAAAACATAATATGGATTGCCATTTTTCATTCATTACTATCTTGAATACAGACAAGCATAAACTATGGAAAGACAGCAGCACAGAGAACTGACTGGTAGCAGAATCAAACCAATTTGTGGTTCAACATGTCATAGTTGCTTCTCTGCCCACTTCTTCCTGTCCACTTCTGGAGGAAGTTAATGAAGTGTCCACATATGGTGCCTAGGAAGGTCCCAAGAAGGGCTCTGTTGATTTTTCTTCCATGGAACAAACAAAAGCAAAGGAGAAAACAAGACTGACAACTGGAATCAAACATCTGCTTCTCAGCAGCTTGTCAGTTGATTGAGCTATTGAGGGGTTGCTGGCACAGCTGAATAGCATGCATTCAGCCTTCTTTTTAATACTGCATTTGTCTTTTTCCTTTAAAAATATGAAATTTTCTTTTAAAAATGCACACGTTTTCACCCTGTCTCCTCCAAATGTTAACATAAAATGTCTCTGTTTACCTTTATCATCAGCCCATGCCAAGATTGAATCTCTCTCCCCAAACACTCCCTCAAAGCAGGAACTATGAGAGAGTAAACACGTATATCCCTGAACTCAACCCTGCTAGTTCATTCTGTTCACAAAGGGGTTCGTTGTGCGAGTGGTGTGACATCTATGAAGCTTGCACAAGGAGATGCTCAGAATCTTCCTCCTGCAACAGAAGCCCTCTTGGCTTTGGCTGGTGGTGTCTGCTTGCACAGTGGAAATTGCCACAGGTTCATGCTCTGCCAAGGGTCAACTGGATCATGCCCTTTGGTTTGTCTGCACACTTACTAACTATTAAAAGTGAAAGAGGAGAAATAGTAAAGGATAAATCTACAAATAAATGTTTTAAAATTACCTTCAAAAATCCCACCAGTGCTGTAAAGCTATTCATGAAGTACTTCCACAGCAGGTCACTCATGAAAAACTCATGAAAAACTGACTGAGCACAGCAAGAATTGCATTTAGCTATGGTAATATGCACTAGTTTTGTAAGTATCACTGGCAAAAAAGTAGAAGGAACACAGCCCAGCTGTATATATTAAAGGGGGGCTCACTGGCAGCTGTAGAGATGCTTCAAAAACAATTAAGGCATATGTCATGTATGACATTTATATCAGTTATGTGCAAGAAATGCTAATCTTAGTGACTAAGGAGGAAACAACTTGTGTAACAGAAATATTCATATTAGGCCTTATTTGGGTGTTACTCAACCACTTTCTTGAGCAAATAAACAAGGGAGGTGCCAGTCCCACCCCATGTTGTTGTTGTTGTTGTTGTTTTTTTGCAATGTACACGAAGAAGAAAAAGTCCTTTCCATATGGAAGCTTTCAAGATGTCAGGATTGATGTCATAGTTTGCCAGGGCTCTTGTTCACATGGAGAACCTCCACACCAACAAAGATTTCCCTGCTTCATACATGATACTTTCCCCGTGAGGAAAGCAAAGAAGAGGGGAGGGCTTGGAGTTCCCTGCCTGAGCAATGAAGAAAGGAATTTAATACTGGAGACATGGAAGCGATTATTCATGGAAGGATATACAGCAAGCTGAGGAGACTCCCATACCTCTCCTCAGACTAGCTCAGCTAGCTAAGAAAGGGATACTGCTGAGCATCAGGTTCAGCAGTATATCAGCAAAAACCCTCCTCTCCTAGGAACCCACTTTCTAGTACATTTATTCAAACCCAGGAGTCTGTGGAGATAGGGCACTCAGTCACCATGATAGATCACCAACCCCACTTTCATATTGCCCAGGTCTGGTTCCTATGTTCCAAAAATGTATCTAATATATAAACAAAAACCATTTACAGAACCATGTTCCTATTAGAGAAAAAACAGCATGTGTGTGTGTAAAAAGTTTTGAAAAGCAGCCCTTGGCTTTCTCCTTTCTCCTTTCAATATTCACATCCTCTTTCACCCTATGATGCTCCCTCTGCTTATGCCTTTTATTCATCTTCATTACATTTCAAAATGTTAAACATTTTGTATTGAGTTTGGAATTACTGAGTCATAACTACTTAGTTGTAATTCCTTTTTCCCCAGTAACTAAGGCATAGCTAAGTCATATTATGATTCTAACATGATAAGGGGCAGCGTCTCCTTTGCACTGTTACTGTTTTATTTACTTTCACAGTTACAGAGGTGTGACCTCCATAAAGGGTAGAGAAGGAATATCAGATGCTGGATTATATTGTCAGCTTTTATTATTTCGTGGACACTTAAGCAACAAGGAGGTAGATGAAAGGACAGTTCCTTTATAGCAGCCTATAGTACTCAGATGTTTTTAAAATTGGTAAGTGAAAATAAGTACTTAGTTACTTGTGGAAAACTGGGAAAGAGTTGCTGAAACAAGAACTGCAAGTACTTATTTTGTTCAAAGTAACACTTCAAGTGCTAGCTATCTGATGCAAAAGCGTTAAGCTTCTTTTTTATCCGTTCAGATTTAACTTGAGAATAACAAGTTCAGTCAGCAGTTCCAGGCCATCTCCCCTAGGGGTCAATACTGTATTTACTATCTTTCCCATGCCCATTATTTCACAAAGCCTAAAGTGCAAAGTGAGGTTTGTTTCTCAGTTCAAAACAATGTTCTCAGACATATTCTTATACAGACAACTGGATTCCAAAGTTCCAGATTTTCTGGTTCTAATTATGAATCTAATTTTCTTCTTCAGGTATATGTGCCTTTCTCTGTTCAATATTCACATCCTCTGTCATCCTATGATGCTCCCTCTGCCTGTGCCTTTTATTCATCTTGCTACTATACTCCTCTCCTTCAGTGTATGTTATACCACAAGCAGTGTGTTGAAGCATCCTGTTTAACAGTGCATTATTAAAGTGTGCATTATAAGAGTGCTTAACAGTGCACTATTAATGTTTATATTTCCTCATGACTAGAGTACTGAATTATAAACAGAGAGACCTGGGTTTAAGCTGCCACTTAGCAGTCAAGCTCCCTGTGCGGCCTTGGATAAGTCACAAAGTCAGCCTCAGAGGGATATTGTGAGAGTGGGAGGGAACAGAAAGAAAGAACAAAACACATTGTCATGATGTCCTTTGTTGTTGCTGTTTAGTCGTTAAGTTGTGTCCGATTCTTCGTGACCCCATACAGTGTAATAAAACCACCACCCTTTATGGAGCTTCAGGTTACAGAGCTAGGACTTGGGATTCAATTCTCCACTGTGCCTTGTAGCAGAGCCAGTCTATATGGCCTTGGACAACATGCACGGTCCCAGAGCATTACAGAAGGAGAAGCAGTAAGGCACTTCTGAGTACTCTGTACTAAGAAAACCTTGGAAAGGGTTGCCATAAGTTGGAATCGACAGAATGCAATTATTATTGTTATTGTTGTTGTTACTGTTGTTTTTATACATACACATTGAAAGTATCGTGCTGCTGATTTAAGTCCTTTATGAATATCAAAAGGTACAAATATACAGTAAGTTGTCATATACAATAAAGATATACAGAATTATTGCTGAGAGAGAACATTATATTACCAACTCATAAATGTCCTCTTCTAGCTTTGGTACATAGGATTGCATTTGGTTTCCGGTCAGGAATTTAAGCTGTAGATAATGAGTTGAGTAATCTAGCTGATGTGCCTGAAAGAAAAAGATCAGGTGGGAGAGAGTTTATTCAAGAGGTAACTATGAATACCAATAACCTTTTTTTTTTCAATGCAAGATGCTGCTGTAAATTGAAAGAGAGGTCATATCTTCTTAAAAGAAAGTTTTGACAAATATATTCTAAACAACTCCAGACAAACACTTTATTCACTATTCAGGAGAGAAATGTCCACATAATGCATTAGTGTTGTTGTCAAATTAAATTATTATTAGTTTGAGTGGAAGCACAGCTGAAGTACAGCTCTGCTCACCTACCGCATGGATGGAACTATAGCTATCACAGAGGCAAAGTAAATGGTAATAAAGGTGAGCGGCAAAACAATAGCTCTTCCTCCTGTCTATCAACACACCTTTCTAAAGCATCATACAGTAGGAGATCACTTTTTTCTAAATCTTGGTATAATCTCTCATTAAGATATCAATCACCAGTTGAATCCATTAGTCTTTTAGATTTTATGCACTATATACCATCATCCCAAAATAGCGATAATTGATGTGCTTTCTAATAATCTCTGATCTAAGTAATTTGCATAAGTAAAACTGTTAGTTATAATTAGCTGGAAATTATGGCATTTGCAAGCCCCCAATTATCTATCGCTTATTAAAATTAGGCTGGAAGTAAAATTTATGCATGACCTCTGTAGGAATCATTCTAGCAATTCCAAAGCAGCCAAATAATTCCCAAACCCAGTCAACTAAATTTAGCGCTCTCTCTCTCTCTCTCTCTCTCTCTCTCTCTCTTTTTTTTTTTTTTTTTTTTTTTTTACAGTTATGGAAGATCAATAGGAGACCCAAACTGCTACAAAATATAGGCCTACCTCTTCCCAGGAGGTAAGTAATGAAAGCCTGCCTGCCTACTTGTGTCCCCTTTTTCCTTCCTTCCTTCTTCCCTTTGCCTCCACAGTGCACTTTCCCCCAATGAAAAATGTGCTGTTGCAATATTTCTTCATTTAAAAAAATGCCAGACATGATCCTCTAATACTACTTAAGATATACACACCTCAGCCCTTTTGTGCACTAGGTTAAAAAACAACCATAACAGCTGCTGCAGCAGCAATACACTGAATATTTCAGTGTGAAAAGGTGCCAACCACTACTCCCTCATCGGAGTTTATAGTGGCTGAAAGAAGTACCTCTGATAGTAAATGTTGCCTACAACACTGGAGGTAACATAACAGGAGCAACAGGGTTGCCCCTCTCTTTGAATGAAGAGCATGAGACAAATCTCCCTGCAACCCCAGTCCTACAATGTTCTTGACTCTGGGGGGGAAAAGATGATGGCATCTAGATGGGAGGGAAGGATAGACAAATGAGTGCTGCCATTCATCTTTCCACCTGAGAGCAATCGTTCCTTGCCTCATGCCTATGGCAACTTCTGAGTGACACCCAGCAACACTACAGTTTTATGACACAGAGTTACAAACAATCCCAGCATGATCTATTATATCCCAATCAGTTCCCCATGTAAATGCATGTTAGAAGACTCTGTCTGGGTGGTCAAATAGATGTGCCTTGTATCCAACTGTGACACCCCAACTGTGGAATGGACATCTCTGGCAGAACGAATACTACCTCCTGTCTATACTCTCCACATGGCCCTTCAACCTCTTCTGGTGAATTGGGGTAACCTCTGGAGAAGAACTGGGAGTAGAGTATGAGAAATGTCAGCGGGCGGGGAGGAAGTAGAGAGGAAGGCAAGTCTGTGGTGTTGTTGCTATCGCCATTTTCATTTACAAACACCATCCCCTTCCTCCCAGAATAGGTCCTGTTGAAATCAAACTACATGCAGCAAGGATGGAATTTTAAGCCGCGTTAGCTACAGCACGTATCAGTGAACAAAGGGCTCGGAAAAGCCTATCGCTTAAGAAACCTTTAAAAATGAAACCTGACAAGCCGGCACAAGAGCGGGGGAAAATTAAAACCACGTGAATGGAACAGATGACCCACTAGCCTCTTTTCAACAGCCTCTTTCTGTCAGTCAGCAGTCAGTAGAAACCTCATGTACATTCCACAGCTCATTCAACTTCAGAGCTGTCGGGGAAGGAAAGAAGTGCCTGAAATCTCCTGTCAGGGAGATTTAGTCCAACATGCTAGCGAGCCCATGGGAGACTAGTGTCCAGGCAGCAGCAGGCTAACCAAAAACACTGATGGCTATATGCTGATGAACAGCAGTTTTTAAACCCCCACTCACACTGTCCTTATCCTGAGGGAAAAGCCACACTGTTCTCACTGTACGAGGAAGACTTCTGGAAGAGGTCAGTTATCAGCAAGCTCCCCCCTGAGGCCCAAACAACCAGGAATTAGAAAAACAAACAAAACAAAACTGCAGTGATTTCCTCAGGGGCAGCTGCATTAATCTGTGTGACATCAAAACAAGATAAAGCACTGTGGCACAATTGAAACTAACAGATATATTAGAGCATGAATGAGCTTTCATGAAATGGATTGTAATCTACAAAACCACAAGCAAGGGGGAAAAAAGGTAACCACAGAAGACTTTTTCCTTGATTTTGTAAATAGCAAGCTCATTATAAAAAACTGTTCCCACAGGAGAGAAGGAAGCTGCCTTATACAGACTCAGATCATTGGTCCATGTAGCTCAGTACTGCCTAAGCCAGGCATGGTCAATGCGTGGCCTGTGGACAGCATGCAGCCCTTGCCCTTTTAGGTGAGCACTCGTCAACTGAGAAGAGCTTTGTGGCGCAGTGGTTAAACTGCTGTACTGCAGCTATAACTGTGCTCACGGCCTGGGGTTCAATCCCAGGTAGCCAACTTAAGGTTCACTCAGCCTTCTATTCTTCCGAGGTCAGTAAAATGAGTACCCAGCTTGCGGGAGAGGGGCAATGTGTAGCCTGCATAACTAACTTGTAAACCACCCAGAGAGTGCTTGAAGCACTATGGGGCGGTATATAAGCAGCACGCTTTGCCTTGCATCACCCTTCCGCTATGAAATTTGCCTTTGAATCTCCAAATTTTGGAAGGGGAGACAAACTAGCAATTCCCTCTTTCAGACAACATTGTGCAGGGAGGGTGCACTATATTTTCAAGCTTAATTGGACTCCCAGAAGAGTGATTCAGTTTAGAAACAACATGTATGCTCCCTAAGTACCTTGTTTCAAAGGGAAATTGCTGGAAGGGGTGGGGGTTGCCATTGTCACACTATGAAAGGTTAATGGTACAGTTGCAAATTTTATAGTGCAGACTTCAGGGCGCATCTCCTAGTCAGTATGGCAAGCGGGGGCAATACAGACCCTCCCCAATGGTTATTGCCCACCTCAGGATAAAATGATTAGCTACAGTTCTCCAGAATGATAAACATAGGGCCTTTTATATGCAAAGCGTGTACTCTATTAGTGAATCATAGACCCTCCTACTGTGCACAATATGCAACATGCCAGTGAATAATGCATACCACAAGACAATCCTAAACATCTCTACAACGTGCAGGACAGTATTGCTGAGTATCTAGCAAATTCAGGATTTTTAAAGTCTTTGATTCCTTTCATGAAGGTAAGATTTGCAACACAGTTAGTCTTTAAAAACAATAACTAGCGCATGAAGAGGTTTACATGAAATGTAGAGCTTGAAATGTTTACTATACCAGAACTCGACTGGTTCTCAGATGGCAGATGGCAAACTGATGTGAAATGATGTGGATCAGAGAATTAAAGGAAAAAGAATGAGCTGAATGCAAGAGACAGAAGAGAGAGATTCATTATTAGATGTTACAGAAAAGAATGTGATCATCAGTCTTTTCCTACACTGATAATTTGGAAAGAAAGAGACAGGTTCATAGCCTGAGCCACAGATCAGTTTACCAAAATTCTGTGAAAGGGGTTAAATTCCCAACTATGCCCTGATAAGTTTGTGGCTTGAGCCCTAAAATGTAACAGGATGTATAGTTACGAACTTCTCTTTTCAAACAGTAAACTAAAAGGGAAGTAGCACTACCACCTGAGAATCTGGCATACTACTTTAAAATTAAAAGCATTGCTAAGAACGTTTAATAATGTTTCCTATTATGTATGTATTTTAAAAATGTCATCTGTCGTCAGTTACAATGAGACATTTTCCCCCAGGAACGTCAATATATAGAATCTCATTTGCCACTGAATACAATATACAGTATAACTACTCTAATCAAGTCCTTTTTTCATTTCTTTTTTATAATGCTAGGCCTTTAAAAAAAATACATGAAATGTTTTATTTCTGAAGGCATCATTTGAACATAAAAATTCAAAGTATTGTGCAGATTACTTTTACTATTTCAGTTTAGTTGGTTAGTGGATGTTATTGAAAGCCATAGATTACAATGACAAATGTTCTGAAATCGCATCCATTGTTATTTTAGTTTGCAAACTGAAATCTACATAACTTTACTTAAGTCTTTCTCACACTGAATGATTCCAATAATGAAACTAGGAAAACATATGATTCATTAAAACTTATTTCAACCCACAAAATGGTTCTCTTTATCTGAAAATACATTTCCAGATCTTTGTAGTTGTTGATGCTGCTGCTCGTATCAACAAATAGTGAGCATTTTATTACAGCTGATTTAGAGCAGTGGTTTAGAGCAGTGATTCAGAAATCCAGAACCATTTTTAACCCATGCTGAGTACAATGCAGGACACATATGACAATCACACAGAGTTCTTCTATTGCTATTCTGGTTAACATCTGAGCTATCAGACTGCATATTAAAATGTGGGGATTTGAAATTAGTTTCTTCTTCAGATATTGATAGTGATGAACTGCATAAAAACCCCAAGGTGACTAGTATGTTCAAACGATAGCTTGCAGTGGCCACTATGTAGCATACAATGGTCACACAAGATGATAAGCCGTAATTCTGAAAATCATGATTTATCACTCATAAGATATGAGCCTGGTACATGCTACCTAGTAGTAGTGGCTGATGATTCTCTATTTTTGGAAGTACAGTACTGTGAATCCACTATGGGTTGTAGTCTGCATGTTATAGGAGCTATCTGGAGAGTCTGATCTATTGTGGAGACAGTATTCAGCACCTTGCACACTAAAACTTGGCAGTGAATTCATAGCATCTCTGAAACTGGAATTGCCAGCCACCACTGCTGTCCAGTAACTTTTCTCCAGCTCTCCAACTGTAGCAAAGAACTCACCAAGATTAAAACACAGTGTATCATCTGAACTGGGATTTCTGATTTGTCATTATACTGGCTAGCTATCCATGGTTTAAATTGATTCCTGCTTCATTTTGTATAAATATGGCAAATAAATAGATTGTACAAAAAATGCTTCCTCTCACATACAAACTTACTTATTATTATCTATCTGCACAAAGACAATATTAAAAACAGTCATTTAGACTATATAATGCCAAATGCCCCCCCCAAATTAAAGGTGGAATCCAAATGTATACTAACATGCTGGGATGAAAATTAACTTCCACCTTAACTTGGCCACCTTTCCATGGGATTCTACCATTAGGTTTGAGTAGTAGAAATGTAAGGAACATTCCGAAAGTGTGTGTGAAGGAATGACTAATAAAAAGTCTTCAAAGTTATAAATGGGCAGAGAGGCAGCAGTTTGAGGCTACTGCATGCAGTATGCAGGAATCTCAATGCACACAGGAATCCATACATTTGAAGAGCTCACTATCATGTTTATTCTCCCCTGCATGTAGGCTCTTTAAGGGATAAGCATGTTTAATCTTATCAAATTCAGTATTATACATATATAGCCATTCTATTCAAACTACTGTAATGATGATAATAGAAAATAAAACAGAATTCACAGACAAATGTTGAAAACTCCAAAAGAAACACATTTTAAATTTCCAGTAAGGGGTGACAATTTCAACATGGTTTTCAGGATATGTTATGACAAACAGCCTTGTCTCCTTGCCCCCTCCTCCTGAGGACATCATTTTCACAGATGAAAGACCATTCAAATGTAGAAAAGTTCAGTTGTGGGAAATTAACTGTTTTGCATTTTTGTGCAATTTTTCATATCAGGTACAGTCAGACAATAATGCTGTAAGTTTTCATTGAAATATTTTGAAACAGGAACAAAATTTCTGTCATTACCATTTCAAATAGTCACACAATTTGAAAAGCTTTCCCCATAAAATCTCCTTTTTACCTTACAGATCATTTCCAGAACATCCCTTGTTGTATCCCCAGGATGTACTACAGTCAAAGCAGACTGGTTGTTTGGCAGGCAGTACCATGAGGGTGTGAAATACTCATGAACCCAAATGTCAGAATCAGGATTATGAGGATGGACAGTAGTCAGTGCCACTTCTTTTTCTCTCTGGATAGAAAAAATGAGAACATTAAAATAGTTCTTCTCAAATACAATGCACTTGTCAATCAGTGAACTTCAAATACAGGGACATAAACACACTGTTCTTTTTAATCTAGTTAACTCTTAACATAAAGACATATAGCTCTGGGTGGCCAAAAGCTTGCTCTGAAGCGAGGTGGGCAAAATCCAGTGGTTGAGAGGGAAGAGTGGGCTGCCTGGAAATCAACAGGGGAGATCACAATCCACTCAATCTCATGAGGATACATGAACATCCACAGAGAAACAAAGACTCCCTGCCTTGTCCTGCCCTGAAGACCAGAAGTGCTCCATGATGTGGGAAGGCACTCTGGAGCCTTCCTGTACCACAGAGAGCCAAGGAATTTCTGCAGTGGTAGCAGGAACTGTAGCAGACAAGCAAACCATCATGAGTCATTGGGGTCTAATGCTTTCCTACCCACCCCCCATATCCCTGGATAATTGCCCATTCCACCATAAGACAAATTCAAAGCCCTGAGAATTATTGGCTTGTCCCCCATTTGTCAATCCATTTCACCCTGGTAAATATTAATTAATTTTAATACATAACAATTCCATGCTCACATCCCCTTTACATACACACTGTTCCTGGCACAGATAAACCAGGATGTCTGTCTGCCTGGAACTCCTTGTGTACACTGGACTGCCCACAGAGCTTGGAATCAGGAAAGTACAGAGAAAGAAGATATGAACCAAACAAGAAAGCAAACATTTATCCCAATTTAAAATTAAAATTCGGTTTAGTTGATGCAATTGAAAGATATGAAGGTCAAAAAGTTATTCTGGAATTGCTTGGATTAGAACTTCTGTCAGCTAATAGCATGTGCACCGTTTGCACTTTATTTCTGTAAGTTATACTCTGAGGGGCATTATTTCCAGCAACTGACAGATATATGGCATTCCTGTTCATTTCACTCTGTTAAATCCCCATTTATTTGATTAAATATATGCCCCTGGCCCTGAGTTAATGGTGTTTCATAGACCAGTTAGTTCCCTTCAGGGATCTGAAGGGGTAGACAACATAGAATTGTAATTACCAAAACAGAAGTAGTACACATTGATCAAGTGCAGAGAAAACCAGACAAATCTGTCTTAATCACTTCAAATTAGCAGAGGTCTGCGTTAAATCCTTTCCCCACAAAACTCTCTCTCTCTCTCTCTGTCTATATGTAGATGTGCATGTCTGCTTGATATTCAATTCTTGTTTACTCTTCACAATTACCTATCATATTGCCTGTGTGAAACTATTTTCTATTATATACAGTGATGTACAGTTGATCACTGTACCACCTGATCATAATCAGTGGTAATGTTGATAAAGAAAATTGCATCCAAATATTTTGGCAAGCATGTAGTGGAATTCAGAAAGAAAGAAAAAAGATGCCCTGTTTCTTCAAAGAGAGAGGGAGAGAAAGAACAGGCAGAAGCAGTTGGAAAGCTGCATTTGAGGCCCACTGAATTATTCAGCCAGCTGCATTGTTCATTGCGTTGTTGAGGAAAGGGCTTTGCCTTGAAGTAGTGAAGGCTTATACTCGATGGAGAACTTGCAGAAATCAGAAGTGCCACGGCATTGGGGCTGAAGAGGGCTACATGTGCTTCTAAAACAGGAGTGGACAAAGTTCAAGGCCTGACTCTAACCAGAATCAGTCCCAACTAGAGCAGACACTCATTGAACCAATGGGTATTGATAAACAACTGTTGGCACATCCTTCAGTGGTCCCATTTCAACTGGAACTAGCAACTATATTTAGATCCAGAGCTCCAGATGTTGCTGGTCTGTAACTCCCACCAGCCCTTGCCAACAAAACAAATAGTGAGAAACCTGGGAGATTTAGTCCAGCAGCATCTGGAAAGCCACACTCTGCCTAGCCTTCCTTTAAAAGGCACCTTCCCCAGCAGACTCTTCATATATATGGGCAATCATGATAATTGTTTGTAAGTACGATTCAGAACACTATTGGAAGAAAATCGGAGTATTGTTTCTCTGATAAGAAAGGGGAGGGGGATAAGCTTCCAACAGCTAGAACTCTACGAAGTTTGGCCCACAGTAAACATCCAGTCCAGAATATACATTTTCTCAGTACTTTCCCCTCAACATTTTCTACAACATCTTCTTTTTTGACTCTCTGGCAAAATATTAAAATCCAGAGAACAAATATAATAAACATGTCTCCTGGAAACTGGGAGACTGAACCTGATTTTTTAAAAAAATATTTACAGCAGAAGCAGATGCACTAAGTTTACAAAAGGCACAAAAAGGTTGAAAAGGATAGCTGTGCAGATATATAACAGAGTCAAGGGCAACCTTCTAAAAAACAGAAGTCAAGTAAACAAAATAAAAGAATAGAAACCCTGGCTAACCAGAGAGAGAGAGAGAGACCATGTCTGGGTGTACACACATTTGGCTGTTTGCCCAAGGAAGGAAGGGATGAACACAGAATATCCTTTTCCAATGATTTCCAGAGGCCCACAGCAAGTGTAATGGACTTGGGAAAAATGGGCTATAGAAAATCTTAATGTGTGCTGGAACAAATCATAATGTAGGCTGCGAAGACCTAATGGAAGAAAGTAAGCATTTGAATTGCCCTCTGTCCCGTGATTGCTCCCAGTCACTGGGATTGCCAGGATGTATTCCAAAAGAAAGAGGCCCATGGCTCTCCAGTTCTGAGGACTGTTATCCAAGGACTGTTATCTGTTCAAAGAAGGCTTTGAAATGTATATGAGACCTCTCTAGAGAAATTGGTAATTGGTACTAAGGGATTAATCCCCTACTAAGAAAGCAATCTATTAGCCTGGGATACTTCAAAGGACTAGCAGCAATGACAGGTACTCAAGGCATGGTATGGAGAAGGCAGCATCCTCACATCAGGGATAAAGTCTCTTCAGAATGGATCTGCCTACATGAGAGTAGACCATGTTTAGATAACAGCATGGCTTAGGAATACATTACAGACAGGTTAAGGAGAACTCCCTTAGTGCCCTTTCTTTGAAAAGATCTAAGATCTGATTTTGTAACTTGTGATTTGGTTCTATTTCACCAAGAAGCTTTTGAGTAACTTTCACCATTTCATTCTTTTTTTTATTCTTTCTTTTCTTTTTAATAAAAGACTTTCCAGGCACTGGTTGGATTTTGCGCACAGAGGAAATCTGATTATTAATTTCTAATGCTTTGACCATTCATTAAGCTACTGGAGTTTCAGGCAAGCAGAACATGTGTGTAGATGGTGGCAGCCAAACTGAGTGCATGCACCATTGATGGGTAACATTTCATAAAAGGCACAACCACAGAAAAGGGGTTGCATGCCAGGGAGTGGAAAGAAATGGTCCAGTTTGAATTCGATAGATTCTCTTGCCCTTGATGCCTTCCTTGGGTTTCCCCATGTCAAGGTGGAAAAGGGCAGAGAAGTAGAGAGGCATGGCCCAGGACAGCTGGGCAGTACAGCTGTATCTTCACAGCAAGTGAGACCAAAAAACTCCGTCAGATGAGACTTTGGTCAACAGGACAATCATATCTTTAAATTCTTACAACTTGTGGAAATAGGGGCAGTTGACAACATGGTTTTGGGAACATACTTAAATTCCATTTAACATGTAGTTACTATATACAGTACTAATCATTTGTGCCTAAGAGGGAAATGATTGGATCTAACATTCTTCAGAAACAAAGGTCTCCCACAAAGGTACTCTGCTGCCAAGAGAGTAAGAATTCTGTCCACTTTGGAAGCACTGGCCTCATTCATTCACCTGCCAATGACGGCTTAGGAGCTTCCACCTCTGTTTCAGACTCTGAAATGAGCACTGCCAACTTCTCTGCATCTCATGCTTGGCTATGTTTCAAAACAGCCTGTCATCTGGCAGAGCTTTGCTGCCGAATGACTTGCTCTTCCATCAGGATTTCACTTCATTTTACTTTGTCCTAAAGGAATGAGCATCGTTCTAAAAACAGACTCACCAGCTAATTGAACTCCTTTGTGCAAGTCATTAACATTCTCCCTGGCTTTTCTTTTTTACCTTGCTTTCCTGTACTGTGTCATCAAATATTCCTTCTAAAGATTTCTTTACAGCATCAGCTCCTTCCCCGAACACCTGCAGAGGCACAAAAGGTGCTATTTTAAAACACAAAAGGATGATGCAAATGTTTTCTAAAATTGGAAATATATCATGATGCTGAAACAAATGAAGTAGTGGGGGAAAGGGAGGAATTAACATCTCAATTAAAATAGGACTGAATTATTTCCTGACTAGGAATAGCTAAATGCAAATAATTATCTCGTCTATTTCAACAAGGCCTAAGTGTCTGATCTAAAGCAGAACCTACTGAGACTCACTAGATACCCAGTGATGTGTAGGGGGTACAGTGATGGACTAGAACTCATGAGACCTAGAGTGGAATCTTTGCTCAGACATGGAGACTCATGGGGTGGGGGTGGGGACAGAGGCGGCAGGGGAAAAACTACTCCTTAAATTTCTCAACTTACCTGGAAAATCCTTTAAAGGTCACTATAAGTTGGATGTGACTTAACAGCCCATAACACAAACATTGAGACTTATTAAGGGAAGTCTGGGGGAAACAGTTCAAATGAGGAGTGGATGAATACCAAGTCAGGAGGTGCAAATGCTCTTGAAACTATACTTAGGTAAAGGTAAAGGTTCCCCTTGACAATTTGTCCAGTCATGTCCAACTCTAGGGGGCAGTACTCATCTCCGTTTCCAACCCATAGAACTAGCGTTTGTCCAAAGACAGTCTTCCATGGTCACGTGGCCAGCGCGACTAGACATGGAACACTGTTACCTTCCCACCGTGGTGGTACCTATTTATCTACTTGCATTTGCATGCTTTCAAACTGCTAGGTTAGCAGAGGCTGGGACTAGCAACGGGAGCTGACTATCAAACTGCTAGGTTAGCAGGAGCTGGGACTAGCAACGGGAGCTGACTACGTCGCGTGGATTCGATCTTATGACTGCAGGTCTTCAGCGGTTTCCAGCATTACCTTCCATTTTGCATAAAATGTTAAATTTTATGCAACATGGGGCTAGACAATCTTTTTTCCTGTCAAGAAAAAAATTGCATTTCCTAGTGGCAAATCCATGGGTGGCCACATCAGTGGTGGGCAAAGTTGGAAGTGAGCAGATCTGGTAAGTGAGTGAGTCACCTCATCTGCCAGCTTCTCTCTCTCTCGCTCTCTCTCTCTCTCTCTCTGACACCTCCTTTCCCCCCCTTCTTACTTCCCACTCAGCCAAATGTCATGGGATAGATTTTTGCAGAGGATTTTCACAAACAGAAAAAAGGCCACATACAATTGGCCTGAGGGTAATAGTCCTAGAACCCCCAGGCTGCCAATACCTCTCTAAACAATCTCTAATCCCATACACCTATTGAGACACAAAGTTAAGGCATTTACCAAAAATCTGCCACATCTAGTCCTTATACTGTGTGTAAATTCAGAATTCATGGACTGCATCAAAATTATATCTGAGCTAAAATTGACACTGTCACTGTATAAACAATTTCTCTACAAAAAGCTTCCTATTCGAATCGGCACAGTTTTGCAAGGAGTCAAATCTATTGAAATTGCCACAAGAGAGAAATGCCTCTTCTTTAATCCTAAAGGATGATTTTTTAGTTTTCTTTAGCTTCCACTGCTTATTTGAACATGTGCTTCTTCAACTTCTGTATTTTGTAGGATAAGAAAGTTAGTTCAGCTTCCTTGGCATATGTTCTATTGTCAATGAAATGGAAGCTTCTATTCACTTCTACTACTTGACTAGGTAAGAAAGTTAGGTGAGCTTCCTTGACATGTTTTAAGGTAAATCAACAGGAAAATGACAGCCCTAGATATGGTTGGGCTTTTGTTATTGTTGTTTTTTCATTTAAAAAGCCTTGGGATGGTGGAGTTCTTAGCTAACTGTACTCTGTGTTTCTTCTCTACCCTGTTTCAGGAATCTAATGCAAGAAACACCTGTCTGAACTGCAGATGGCTCAGTTTTCAGAAACACAAAGTCACCTTATTTATTCCAGTATGCCCTGCTAGATGTAATATACACCTGTACATCTACCAGTGACTCTTTCAGTTTATAATCTCCACTTTGGGATGGAGTACCACTGCAGACCTTTTGGCCATGTCAACATCTGGTCAAACTTCTAGATTTCACTGATTTCTCCTATGGATTTAGATTTTGCTTTCTCATCTTGGACCAACATATATATCTTTATTTATATCTGTCTACATTTGTATTAGTTAAGCATAGCCTCCCCTCCTGCAAGGAAGGATTACAAAACAGATAAAATAATTTGGGCATGCAAGCTATGAATAGACAGAAGAGGAAGGATATAATTATGGATGAACCATTTTACTGATCTCTAAATACTGAATAACCAAATAAAACCCCTAGTGCTTAGGAAGCAGCAGCATATTCTATGTATCTCAGAGGTTAATAAATCTGCCTACAGAAAATACTGCCCTACAGGGGGCAGAATTATGAACAGACACCACAGGGCAGCTATCTATGGCGATGGCCAATGGAATGCAAAGCAAAAAAAAAAAAACGTATTTTTCTTTTCTGTTAATTCTATAGAGGGCAGATGTGATGAATGAAAGCACCATGAACAAAGGGTATTTGGAGATAGATGCTATTGGCAGAGGTCAACAATATTTTTGCTCTGAGGGCTGCATGTAGTGCTGAGTGGTCAGTTAGGGGAACCTACATGCACATGCATGCATACCTATAAACACATGTATTGGTACACATGAACATGGACACACAAAGAGGATAATGAAGGTGGGGGGAGAGATTGTACAGTTTATACAGTCTCTGCATTGTATATGTTATCTCAAATTAAGTTATTTAGAAGGCATAATATTACCACCAGAAAAGAAGTTCAGTATCTCAGCTGAATGATCTTACATCTTAACTCAGAGCAATGTGCATTTCTGAGCCCAATATCAGATATTTCTTGCAGTGAAAACTTTCTGCATCAGCAAGTAATCCTTCCCTTAAAGAGACTATTGCAAATTCTTGTGTGTGCGTTTCTAAAGCATATCATGGACCTAACAATATATAGCTGTCTTAATTGTGGAGATACCTGGTTAATACTTGGTCTCCCTTGCTTTTTCTTTGAAGTTGTATCCAAACCCCAAAGGGAAGAAAACCGACTTCTTCGCTTGCTTGCTGATCTTGACATAGCCTGTGTTCTTCTCCTGACACCAGATTCACCTGTGCGAGCAGCCACCTGCCGTAACATTAATTAATCAAAAACATTACAAAAAATCAGTTTCCAAGAGCCACAACACATATTTTAATGAGTACCCATAGGTATAAAGTTATACAAACATATTGAAGATGCATGCATACATTCTAGTAGCAATATTTTAGTTGATGTAATTCACTTTAAAAAAAAGTTAAGGAAGTAACACTCAAGTGAGGTAGGCTGTAAATTTAAATTTAATGAAAGCAGGCTGCTCTCTTCTGTGAGTTCCCTACAAACAACTCCTGCTGAAGATACAGTGTACATTCTTCATTAGCACAGCACCAAAAAAGAATTATTAAAATTACTGCAAGAAGATCCAAAATTAGACCAAGCCTCATGGGAGCTCAAAAACACTAAAGATGTCAAAGCAGTACTAACAAAATACTTCTTATATTCTAATGCTAGACAACTAGTAGTAAAAAACATGGTTCACAACACAATCAAAGCACTATGGGACATCTTCTCAATTAAAATTTAACATGTACATGGTTATATTCCATTCTATAGCTGGAAAGGCTCTTAGTGACTTACGCAATTGATTTTTAAAGGCAAAAAAGTTGCATTAAAGACAGGCTTCTCCTTTCCTCAAGACACATTCTCCTCAAAAGCATATCATTCTAATATAGATAATAGCCCAGTTCTCGGATATAGAGACAACAAAACCAGTGCTTTGCTAGAGAGGTACTAAGGCATTTGATAAACAAAATTGCATCAAAATATCCTTCCCAAGCTTCTGGATCAGATGTCAGTAATGTGTTCACTCCTTTCCCAAAAGGAAAAATCTTTCCTTAAGCTCTTTTTACCAACAGAAGGACACCATGAACACCAGCTTACAATGCCTCATTAGATTAGGCATCCTTCAGTATCGAGAGACTGTGGTAAAATGCTCTATATGGAGGACTTGGAGCAGCGTCTAGTGTGGCTGAGGAGGCCAATTCGAGAGTGACAATCCCTTCCACACTGAAGACAGATACAGTCTGCCCCCTGTCCAGCTCCCTGATTTTGCTGGTTTCGGGACTGCCTCTTTGCCTCGGCCTCATAAAAAGTTACATATTAGCATCAACAATCCAAAATAGACTCTCATCTCAAATCGCCTGTAGAGAAGGCAGACTCTTATGCAGGTGTTAAAAACTGCTGGAGGTCAGTGAAATCTAGTGCTTCAGGTGAAAAATAAAATGCTAAATGACTTAGGACAGCCCCATCATTTCTGCTAGCTTGCAGTATACATTTGAGGGTAAATGTATACTGAGAGTAAAATGAACAGGGCATAATAAAAATGGTGTGTGTGAAATACTGGTCACCAAATTAATGAATGGCAGCATTCACATAAAAGCTGACTAAGAGTTACTCCTATGAAGTGTGTGTCCATGTGAGTGTATGTGTGCAAGCATACTGAGAATTAAGACCAGTGACAAACAATAATAGTAATAGGAACACAATAGGTTAAAATTGGTTGTTATTCCTGTTTAAACTACCCACACTGAATGAATGGGCCTTATCAAAACAATAATTCTAGAAGTCTCATTGATTCAATGAGTCTTCTCTAGTTAGGCCAGTTTAATCTGATGCTAGTGTGTGGTAACCTATGAACCTCTGAATAATTCAAGAATCTGCATGATCCAACAGGCAGTTAGTGTGCACTAATTTGTTCGGTCATATTACATCAGTTTGAACCTCTTTCCTCATCTGAGGTTGACAAGGTGCTAGAGCACACTGCAGGGCCACCGTAGCCTCCCTAGATCCTTGCCTGGGCTGGCTTTTAAAAGCTGCCACGCCGACAACAATGGAATAGGCCACCTCTATCCTCAGTGTTTCTCTCCTTGAGGATTGGGTTCCCCAAATCCTCAAGAAGACATTTATCAGGCCCATCCAGGGGGGGAAAAATGAATTTGGCAGCAGATGATAGTGACCACTATCACCCTGTCACCAATATTCCTTTTTAAGCAAGCTAGTGGAGAGGGTGAGCACTCTTAGATGAAACCAACGCCCTCAACCCATTCCAGTCCAAGTTCAGGCTGCATCAGGGCATGAAGACGGCATTGGTTGCCCTGCAGGATGTCCTTTTAAGAGAGGGCGACAGGGGTAAAATGTCCCTACTGGTCCTTCTTGGCCTCTCAGTGGCCTTTGATACCGTCAGCCACAGTATCCTTCTGCAGAGGCTCTCTGGATTGGGTATCGTTGGCCTGGCTTTTTCCTGGCTCTGGTCCTTCCTGGAGAACTGTCCCCAGAGAGTGCGACTTGGGGAAATGGCCTCCACACCTTGGGACTCTCGATTGTGGAGTCCCTTAGGGATCAATCATCTCCCCACTGCTGTTTAATATCTATATGTGGCCGCTGGGGAAGTTCATCTGTAGATTCAGTGGCATGTCACCAATATGCTGATGAGATGCAGCTCCATCTCTCCTTCCACCCTTCTGCAGTGGATTGCATCTCGTCCCTTGAGCACTGCCTGGCAAGATGGAGGTCCTTCGGGGGGGGGGTACTCCGGCTGTTTGTGGATTGGGTGCCTCTCTTTCCTTTGGGGGTGCTACTCTTTGCGAAGAATGAGGTTCATAATTTGGGTGTCCCACTGGATCCAACGCTGTCTATGGACACTCAATATAGTGTCTATGGTTCGGTCTGCCTATTTCCATGTCAGGCAGATTGCCCAGCTGCATCCTTACCTTGACAGCCTTGAAGCTGTTATGGAAACTTCAACAGGTCCAGAATACGGTGGCCAGATTATTGAGTAGAGTGAATAAATATAATCACATCACCCCAATTCTGGACGCCTTACACTGGTTATCCATCAATTTCTGTGTCAGCTTCAAGATGATGGTTCTAATCTATAAAGTCCTAAACGGTTTGAGACTGCAGTACCGGCCAGAGTGTCTACTTCCAACAGTATCTGCCCATCCCACAAGAACATCCTAAGCAGGTTGGGTGAGGATGCTAAATCCTGGAGAGAGAAGACAAGAAACTGGCCGTCTCGATAGTTACCCCTCAGCTGTGAAATGAACTCCCCCTACAATTCATTTGGCCCCTTTAGTGATTTTAAAAAAAATCACTAAAAACCTGGCTATTTAAGAAAGGCATGCCAACATGTTGTACCTGCAGATTCAGCTAAGCTTAGTTAGCCTACTTGATCCAGCCTGACATTTTAAATGTGCCAAATGTTGATGTAAATGTATTTTTATATTTTGATGGTATTGTTTATTTGTATTTTATTATTATTAGTTCTTTTCTTTTTTTGTTAAATTGTCCTTTAAACCTGCTGGTTACACATGCTGTAAATCACCCAGAGTGAGTGGCCTTTGACCAGATGGGCAGTATAAACAGCCTTGCAGTCAGACGCCAACTGAACATTCACCAGAAAACTTGGGAAACAAATGCTTGCACACTTATGATTGAAAAGGGCAATAGGATTCTGGCTGATAAAGTTTTTAAAAAGTTCCTGTTGCCACACCTTTTTAAAAAATCACACTTGTGGAGGCAAAAAATAAAAATAAAAATAAAAATTATTATTATTATTATTATTATTATTATTATTATTATTATTATTATTATTATTATTATTAATTAGTGGCAGAGTGAATCACTTGGAACCGATCAATTTAGCCAGGTAGGGTTTCTCCTTAACAATTAATCTGAACAGTATATTAGCCTTTATGATGATGGTTCCCAAACTGTTTTGGAGTCGCAACTGCCTTGACTCCATCTTGGAGCCTCCCCAGCACCAAAAGAGTGACGCCACCGCCGCTGCCTCTTCTCTTCCTGTGCGGGCAGCCGTCCGGGGACAGGAATGTGGCTCACCCTGGGGTCCGAGCAGGCCGGGCAAGAGGCATGATCCCAGCTGGCATGGAGAGGGACTCACCAGTCAAGGTGGCCAAGGATGGCATGATTCCACTGCACCCCTCGCTGGGTTTGGCAGCACCCCAGGGTGCCAAGGGACACACCTTGGGAACCACTACTTTATGATAATAATCAGAAACACATTTATTTTAAGATTAAAAATGCTTTGTGAAAAGTCAAGGTAGGTAACATTTAAAAGCATGTCTTTCAAAGGCAAAGGAAATCATTTGCCACAGAAACAGCCCTCAGCTTTTTCTTGATAAGACCTCAGCGACCCAGCACACAGTTACCACTGAAATCAACAGAGGTTGCACAGCAACAGCAACTCGGTTAACCTTCTTATAAAAGTACCAAACAATTTCTATTCTAGCAACAATAACCTCTGGCATCAGTTTAAACTTACCAGTGCGTGAAAAGACGACACTGAAAAGATTCCAAGGCGGCCCATTGCATCTTTAGTTGGACGGCTTGCAAAGGCCAGCAATGTTTTTGGATTTGGCAGTTCTCCTCCTTGGAGGCTAGCTAAATAGCAACGATACCGGAACAGATCCATCTGAAATTGTTCCAGGTTTTGTTCCCAAACAAATATCTATAAAAAGAAAATAGAGATGGGAGGAAAAGATCAGTGGTGAACACATTTCAAAGTATACAGGCAAAGTCATAAAATTATGTCTTTAAACAAAATTATTGTCCAAAATGAATAGATTTCTGAGGAAGAAAAGGGGATATTTAACTTTCCAGATTATAATAATGTAAATATCTTTGTTTTTCGAAAAGGAAGCCATCCTGAAATATCTATTTCTTTGAAACCATACTGGCAAGATCAACATTCTGACTTTAATTTCCTCTTTCATGGAGACAGATTCTCCTCCCTACCCCAAAATCACTGACAAAAAAGCTGCAACAAATCCCAAGGTTGTCAGAAGCAGCAGCTTAGAAAACCAATGAAATTTGTTATTGTAATAAAGAATAAGAATAAAATATATTGGAACAACATTATCTGTCAGTTACCGAAGAACACCAGTAATCTGTATCGCAGAGATTGCTAGTGGGAAATGTTTTCAATATGTCTGAAATCTCCCTGATCCTCCATATTTTTCTTACAATACTTACAATTCTATGCACTTTTAACAACCCTGGCTAAAGAACTAGAGCTCAGAAAGGAGGGATTCACATGCTACTTTCCTTGAGTAATAGTACCAGCCTACATACGCAAAAGGGAAAGAAGCTCAGCTAGGCTTCTTCCTTGCACTTCCTGGTATGTATTCTAAAGACTACAGCCTAAATTAGTAAAAAATAATAATGGGACGGATCTTTCACAAATGATCTTTGGCAAAATCAGCTGAACGTTGCCCACTGTACAAGGTACAGATAATGGCTAGAGTCAAAGCTCATTGAGAATGGAAGCCAGTGTATTTCTTACTCCTGAAATTGCTTCATCATATGCAATATCAAGTGCAAAGAATACACGCTCCATTCAGACACTGCTCTCTATTTTATGTCACCATAGATAGAAGGGAGCAGCCTAGACTCACCCTTGTTTCCAACATAATCATTCTCCTATTTGTGGAGAGTGATGAATCTGCTGTATGTGGGAACTCTCCGTATGAATTAGCTGCTCCCCAAAAATGATGATAACAGAGGATTTCCACTTCAGAGGCATTGTTTGCCGCACAAGTGCAAGCAATGACCCCAGAAACAGAAGGAGACTGGGCTAAAGGACTCTGCTCTATCTATGGTGACTCCTAAACAGGGCTTCAGTTGAGAAGGTAAGTAGAAAGTCTACCAGCTTCTTTTTGTTACAGTAATGACTTAGGACATTCACAGAAATAGGACTATTTGAAAATCTAATTTATTTCACTGTCATGCATTGCTAATGTATACAAGTAAGGTACAGTACTTGGTCAAGAATGGTCTTCTTCTTCTTGGAGTCTCTGACAGAAGACAAACTGAGGAAATGCATTTCCCCCATTTTCTTCATCTTCTCATCCATATCAATCTTCTGCTCCAGCTTTTTAATTTCTGTTTTCAACAGCTTGACAGTATCTTCTTTGTGGTGCTGCCTTGCTACTGCTGTGGCACAAGCAGAATGAACTGCTGTAATCCAGTTCTCCAGTTCTGTTTGGCTAGAAGTCTGAAAAACAAAACAAAAACAAAACAGAGAAATCAGAATTCTCTTAATTGATACAATTCTAGGGTTTCAGTTGACCTTGCTTATGTCAGATTCATAAACCTGACAGATGTGACTATGTGTCTAATTTGCTCTTTTTAAGTTCTTACTCAACAGGCCTTAGAATCAGCACTGATGACTACAGAGCAATTGCTAGCAATGGCTCAGAAATTGGAACTGCACTATCATAGACTTGTGCCAGGTCTTGTAGGCCATCGCAACATAGCAATCTTATTCACATCATCATTGAACACAGTGGTTTAAAACGCAATACCTTTTAGGCAAATGGAGTGCATGTCTGTATACATTTATAGAATAATTACACTGCTAGCTGGCAACAGTACATAAAATACTTAATGGATGTTCTGTCCATTCATATTGTAACAGTGATGAAAAGCATAGCACTTCCCTACCGAGAAAGCTTATCATCATTTATTGTTAAATCCTCACAATATCGCTGCAAGACCACCATACTTTACAACTGAAAGGGGAAATCAGAAATGAAGAGTACATATCAAAAAGCAAGAGATCTGAACAGCTTCACTAGCTCTCTGTTGTGACTTTGAATCATAATGCAATGCTACAAAAGTGGCAGTAACAAATATGTGCTTAATGAAATAACATTCATAACTGCCACAGATGGTGCTAAAGAGAAAACCTTTTGCCCTTGAATTTTCAGATTAAAAACTGCTTTACAGCCTTTAAACTTGATATAGTGTGCCCTTAAGTGTAACTGGATATTAAAGCACCAAACATCTACTACTAGTATCTCCATTGCCTATTTTTCCCCTGAGATGCTGTAGTGCTGGACAAGAATATGAGAAATTTAGGCTAAAATTTAATCATAGTTTCTCAGGCTGACCTATTTCACAGGAGAGGGGGGAATCAGGAGTATTTACAGGAGAATTATTGATTAAATCAGGAGAAGGAGAGCTTGAATTCACTGAAGGAAATGTTTGATACAAGCATAGCAAATATGTATAGGTGAACTCACTGAACAAATTTCCATAAGTCATTGTCTTGCTATTAATCTCCAGTGCCTTAAAGTCAGCTGGGAAAGTTTATAATTATATTGTGAACAGGACAGAACTGGGATCCAATGCATTCTTGACCTGAAATATGAAACCTGACTATAAGCAAATCTTGGTTAGTTTTAACTAAGTTTATTAATGCTTGTAACTACAGTTAAGGATTGTGAAAGGATGGGATATAGGTGAGAGGGAAGGGAGCATGAAATGCATTTCAAATTAGGATCTAATTCTGCGCTAGTGCTGAGCTGAGTAAGATTCAATGCCTGACCCAGATACTTCTTTGCTGAGCCATTTAGCTGGCTAGGTAGCTCAGTGAGAAGACTTAAATTCACCCCTGTGTTCTGAAGGAAAAGAGCCAGCTTTTTTTGGTACAAGGCAATACACATGATCCCAGAACATCCCCAGAAAAGGGGGATGGTAAACCTCTTCTGAGTACTCTATACAGTATATGGGAAATCCTGCTAAAGGTTACCATAGGTCAGAATCAACTTGACAGCCCTTAATTATTATTGTAAGTTTTCCTCTATACCTCAAAAGCCCTCCTGGGCAGCAGCCCCACCACTACTTGCAGTCAGTTTATTGTCAGAGTCCTTTGACAAATCATACAGGAATTTTTTTTCTTACAAATTTCCAGGTACTTCATTTAAAAAAATTGGCATTAAAAGACAATGTTAGAATCTAGAATCTAGTTACCACAAAAATTGCAAAATTCCAGATAGGTACTTAAAAAAAGCATTTGGCACTAAAAGACCATTTAAAATCTAGTATCCAGTTATCATAAAATTTCCAAGACCTGAGTATCACCACATACAAAAGCTAGTTACTTGGTAAGTGATCCTGGGATTTATATCAGAAAGAAGAAACTCCAGTCTGGTGTTTTGTTTTTTCTGAATGGCCAGGAATGTTTTGGTCAGTGGGGTGATGATCTCCTTATGTGCCACACTCATAATGCAGGCAAGTGAAGGATGTGCGCTCTATAGTCTCAACCTCCCTTAAGGGCAGGTACAAAGCCTTTCAACAAAAGGGATATTCTTGTACTTTCCTTCAAGTACAGCGGAAGGGAGGGCCGAGCACCTTGCCAAGGTGAAGGCTCTTCTAAATCCTTTTACTTCCAGAGATGTTAAATAATTTTCCAGTTCCAGAGAGTTTTTGATGTAGGCCCTCATCATAGTACAGGTATTTCATATACTGGAAAGGTCATTTTGACATTCTGTATCCTCAGTTCTCTGCTTAACTAAATTGTTTGCCTGATGATAAGAGCACCTGAGGGGAAGGGCCACTTTTCAGCAAATAGCTCTGGACAGACTTGACCCAGTTGGATTGAAAGCTGTCATAGAATATTAAAGGAAACAGACCTTCTGGATTTAGATATCCCTTTAGTCACACATATATAGATAGGATACCGTCCCTGGCTTCAACTTTTAGGCCACCTGTCTCCAATCTTACCCTGGCATTAGACATACATTTAGAGACCTGTAAAATAGTTCTCAGGAATTTAGATTTGACTTTTTCTTGTGGTGCAAAATGGGAGCTATCACGGCCTTCTTTGAGTGCTAGTATAGTCTACTGAATAGTGTGTCAGGCTAGGACTCAAGACACCATAGTCCAGATCCCCACTTGGCCACACAAACTCACTGGAAGACGGCTCTGGTAAAACCACACCTTAAATGTCTCAATATTTCAGAAACCCTACCAGGATCATCATAATTCAAACTCGGCTTGGTAGTACATGGCACACACAAGCCATTTTACTTGTTAAACTCCTTAGTTCTTTTTTTTTTACATGTTTAAGTTCAATGAAACAACAGTCAGATTTTACAGAAATGAATTCTTATTTATTACAGTTTTCCTTTAGTCAACCTCTTACCATATGTAAGCTAGACAATTGTGTTTTGTTGTGTTTTTCAAATGAAGCCTCCAAATGAACTACAATGGAGAAGTGTAAAAACAGCATATAAAAACCTCCTCCGTGGCAGAAGTTAGCAAAATTTTCATTCATATTGTATGCAAACAACTGGAAGTGACGCTTAAATTATAATGGTTTACCATATCAAAGAATTCAGCCAACAGTACTGGAAATATTTTGACTGAATGGTCACACAAAGGAACATTACTATTATTATTTTAAGTTCTATTTGGAGGAGATGGAGTAGGAGGAATGTGTTGTTTAATACAGTACTCTGGAACTCAGAAGGATGTTCTGCCTCCAAAAGGAAGGTGAATTCTTGCAAAGAAACTGCAAAAGCCTGAAATAGGAGCATGCAATTTTTAGAAGTTGCAAACATCTGTCTAATGACATGTGAATGGCTTTGTGTAGGCCTTATCGTAGCTGAAGAGGAAATGAGTAGGAAGTATATGGCATGTTAAGATGTAAGACAGCAAGAACAAGATTACTATGACATGTATATGAGTTAGTAATAAACTATTGCTATACTGAATAACAATATTTTATATTTTTATTTTGTGTTCAGTCACATCAGCAGCTTCTACTGAATGTAGATGGGGTAATTGAGGTAAGAACTGTTATTTATTACATGACATCAAGTAGATTCTGACTTATGGAGACCCTTGCCATCGTTCAGAAGTGGTTTATCATTCCTTTCTTAGAGGGAATGTGTCTCTGTTTGTTCTGCTGGAACTCTCAGCAGCTTTCAATACCATCAAGCTTGGTATCCTTCTGGGCCATCTCTCTGGGATGGGACTTGGAGGCACTGACAGTGGCAACAACTGTCAGTGTGGGAGGAAAGTACAAATGAGCAAGGGGAACGTTGGTTCGGGGCAGAGTGGGAAAACAGGATGAGACAGTGGGAAGCAGAGAAGTGTAAAGAACTTGAATATGAGAAAGCCCAGGAGTTGCCGAAGGATTTCCACAACTTGAAAGTGGGCAGACTGCTACCTGATCCGGCACCAAAGACTGAGGGAGAAGTTGTCTATGAAACACAAGAGTGGACAGTTAGTGTATTTCCAAGAGGTCAGGGGCAAGGGAAGCAAGTGATCCATCCAGACGCGAGATACAACACACCCCTGAAGGAAGGTGACTTGGCTCGGCATCCATGTTGCAGCACCATCTGTGCAGTACGGAGCGCCCCTCTAGGGAAACCCACAGACCGGGAGCGATTTGGCTGAGCACCCCAATGAACTCATTAGACTTTGGAAGGGAGTTTGCGTCACCAAGTTATGGCTTGTTGCCAGAGTTGACCTGTTCTGACGCAATCATTAACATTACTGAGAATTATGGAACAAATAAAACTCAAGATTTGAATATGGTAAAAACATCTCCGATTTTATTTCCCTTGCATAAAGAGGAGTAGCCAAAAGGAGAAACCGAACCCGATGACACTGGACGAGATTGAATAAACTGAAACTTAATCCAGACAAAACAGAGGTGCTCCAGGTCAGTCAAAAGGCAGAGAAAGGAGTAGGGGTGTAGGCTGTGCTGGATAGGGTTACACTCCCTCTGGGTCAGTCAAAAGGCAGAGAAAGGAGTAGGGATGTAGGCTGTGAGGATGGGGTTACACTCCCCCTGAAAACACTGTGCAGCTTGTGGGTGCTCCGGCTCCTGGATTCATCTCTGAGCCTGGATAGATAAATGTTTTCTCGGGGTGCTCTGGAACTGTGCAGCTTGCCCAAGACTACAGGGGCTAGGTCTTCTCCTGGAGGCACAGAGGGGAATCAAACTCCCACCCTCCACACTTGCAGCCACATACCCAGCATCTTAAGTTCAAAAGAAATGTTAAGAACTGACTTACTGAAAATTGTAAGCAACTCATCTTGTAAAGGAACTTCTCCTACTTATCTCTTCTGTTTACATATTGTATAAATGGTAACAAATTATGTCAGCAGAGGCATAATATTGCTTGCTCAATATATATGGTTTAGCAATTCTCTGCATAACAAATCAAGCTTCAGCTCAGTAACTTGCAGATTATTTCAATAATTATGTCCAATCTTTTTTCCTGCCTGCAAAACCATCTCTGTTTCACAATCTAAATCCTTCAGATTTACAAGGACTTTAGCTTATCGCAAACAAATAGTTCCACAAATCTGAACAATCTACTAATGTAGTGCCTTATCCTTTTCCCCTCTCTTTTCATTTTGTGCTCTTTCCCAGAAGAGGTTACAGGAAAACCTAGCTCAGATGTCTCAGCGAGGAACTTATAATAAATAAGGCTCTATGCTGCCACGCACTCCATGTGACCTTTACAGTCTTGAGCCTCTATGCTATTTGTTTTCTGAGAATCAAGGTCTCCAAACAAAATGCATCTGTAAGATTCTGCAATGGTCTATGAATATCCAGCTAAGAGGGGTTTTTACGGTATAGACCAGGGATGGCAAACCTCTGGCATGTATGCCATAGGTGGCATGCGAAGCCCTTTTTTTTTGGCACGTGAGTGAGTGGTCCACCCACCTGCCCATATGGAAAGAAACGTTTTGAAGTGGCTGCAGCCAGGATTCCCCCTTTCTCTTCCTGTTCTGGATCCGTCACCATGTTTTCTCCCTGAAACTGCCACTTCCGGTTCTGGTGCTGGTCTTCCGGGTGGCATGGCAGCCACTGGTTTCTCTCCCCCCCTCTCATTTTGGGCACTCGAGCTGAAAAAGGTTTGCCACCACTGGTATAGACATTAATGCTATACCCATATGTTCCTGAAAGCCAACCACCCCACACACCCTTACCCTACCCCTAGCTAGTGGAGCACTCCCATATGGAAAACACATTTCACTCTTGATAGGGATGGATGAACAGAAGAGGGGGAAGAAAATAATTTCTTATATAAGGGAAATTATGGCACTGCAAGAGTTCTATCTGCAATAGATGTGGAAAAATAAACAACAAATGGCAGACCTGTCAGTGCCATAAATTAAAAAAAGAGAATAAGAGAGAAGGAAGATCCATGGAAAGCAAACATATAATTGGATTTGAAGATGTAGCCCCAATGCTTCAGGGGACTCAGGCTGTCCTGCAGGAATCTGTGATTTTTTTTCTTCACTCAAGAAAACAGGCTTGGAACATATGTTGCATAAATAAGGTAAAACAATTCCTTTCCTATATAATATCCAGGACAGAAGTCAGGGCATTAGGTTATTATTCACTGATACATATGAACTAAAGATGTTAATAACTGCCCTCAGTTACACTACATTGTTATTCAGAACATAGTTCAATGAAAGTTAATGATTTCTATGAGAAATAAAAGATGTTAATAACTGCCCTCAGTTACACTACATTGTTATTCAGAACATAGTTCAATGAAAGTTAATGATTTCTATGAGAAACAAGCTTTATTCATGCACTTAGTGCTCAGAGACACTGAACATGTGAAGAAGGCAGCAGGACATTGCAGGACAAGTCTTGTGTCCGCATGCCGCCATGACTATTAGCCACATATCCTACTGGACTCATGATTAGAAGCCATCTAAGTGAGGGCACTTCTTGTTACACAGGTCTTCCTCCAAAGGGACGGGAACATGAATTGACCAGAGGTCTTGTCCCAGTGGAGAAAAGGCTATGTCCCTCTGGATTGATGATAATGATACCTCAACCAGGCATGCCTAGCACGTGCAGTGGAGGGATGTCTAGTCCTATGCATTGGCAATCAAAGGGGCCACATGCCTGAATAGAGCAACACAACAAATGCATTATAACTTATAGGAAAAAAAGTGAAACTTTACATCATAAATCCATTTACAACAGACTGATTTTTCTAGCCAAGGTGTCCAATCCTCTGGCCACTGTTGAGTTTTCATTAGAAAACTACATTAGCACTACATTAGAGCGCTCTAAACCCCTTCTACCACCTCCATGTTTTACTGTTTAAGAGATTTGGAAGAGGAAGAGAAAGTATCAGATCAATGATCAGGAACAGGGCATGGGCGTTTCATAAACAAAATTGTAAAATATTATCCCCTAGGAAATTGTTGCATCTGAGGACACTGGGCCAATAAAAATCTGAGCATCATTATGATGAGAACTCGGATTATTCGATAAGCTCAATTACAGTTGAATGTTTGTTTTACTGATAACATGTTCATATTAAAGAGAAAAATTAGGGTGTGTTTTTTTAAAGAAATCACCAGGTTATAATGGAATATTTGTCTAAACCTGAACTGCCTGGCTCCTGGGAAGTGATGTCCTGATTAAGCTGTACGGTTGCATCCTTTAAAATGTATGTGTGGCAGGGGAATCGCCTTCTGGCAAAGGGGGAACTCCGAAAAGATAAAGGAATAACAGAGCAATCACAATGTTTATCACAAATAACAAGAACTATTCAAGTTTTACTTTTTAAATGAGGATCTAGCGTTTGTAATCTCAACACACAGAAAAGTATACTTCCAAAGCGAATACTCATAACACAGGGAAGGACTTAATGGAATCCTGCAATCTTGTGGAAGGACCTCATGGATTACTTAGCCTACTGTTTTTCCAACTGTGTTTTGGAGTATTCTCGGAACACTTTGAAGCTTAATGTGAGTTCACTCAGTGAGAGTACATGGCGGATTAGTTTCAGTGAAGACAAGCTTGTTCACCACAACCGCATCTGCCCCTACACAATTTCTGGTGTGAATGGAGTGTCTTCCAGCAGTAATCTCAGTTTACACAATGAAACCAAATAGGTTCAGTCTGAACAGTACATGAATTAGGCACTCTGCATGTGCCCAAGAATCTTCTGCAAAACATAGTGGTCCCTGGAGGCTTTCCTAAAAACATGTCCAGTTGACCAGAGGCTGAAACATCTACTCTTTTGGACACCTGGCCATGCTAACTAGGGGATTTTGGGACTTGCAGTGCAAACAAGTAACTGTTGCAGTGACCTAGCCTAGTGCTATCTGTGGAAGAATATCTGCAACACACATATCTCAGTTTCATCCTGCACCATATGCAACGAAATAATATCTTATGATCTCCCTAGTCAGTTTCTTCCTTGAGGAAAATCACATGAATACTGTCCAGACATATTTGGAAACAGAGATCACAACTATAAACAAAATCCTGAGTATGCTTTATGCTCAGCAGTGTATGGTTCTCTAACCTCATCAGCAGTAAAAAGAATTATTGCACTATAAAGTGTATTTCCCTCACTCCCCATCCCAATCAACCCAACTTTAAAGAGATTAAATGTACATTCCTCGTGTCTCACATACACCCCAAACATTTCCTTGTGGAATGAGACCATGGCCCAGATATGTCATCTCACACTCGCTGATCTACAGAATAGAGTCTGGCATTACAAATAAACTACAAGACTGTTGTCAACCCCAAATGAGCTTTAGAGCTATTTGGTTACATCTTCACACCAAAATGCACTGAATCCTTCTACAGACCACCCACTGTTAAAATAATCAGGCAAGCCAATCATTAGGGGTCATAAGTAATAACCTCTCAATTGCACACGTCTCATTCTGGTCTTTTCCTGAAGAAAAACGAGTATCTAATAAACTAAGGAAGAGAAAACAAACCTGAAACAGAAATGCATCACCAAGGGAATTGCTGAGGCAGAAAACGTAGTCTTTCTTAGGATGCTCAGGCACCGCTTGCACTATGCTGTTTTCAACCCAGACTGCATGTTTTGGGATGCTGTTGTGGTCTATTCCAGATCTGCCATCACTTTCATAGAAGAATAATGTGCATCCTTAAGGAAAACAACAAATATTAGCAACCTATACAAATGAGCAATATAACATTGCAACCCAGGCACAATGGAGTTTTCACTTTTCAGAATTACATGATAGCAACCTATACAAATGAGCAATATAACATCAGAATTACATGAGGCTAACATTCCTGATAATAAAAATCAGAATTCAACTGACAGAAAAGGGACCTGCAATGAAATCTTGCAGCACGGGATGATGCTGTTCACCGTCAGCCATGCCCTGCTCCATTATATGCCATTTCATTCTCTCTCTGGGCTGCTCCTCAATTCAATCAGCATTCCAATGCCCATTGAGTATACTGGGGTGTTTTTTATTTTGTTTCCACTTTCTTCCAACAGAGTTGTTATTGTTGTTCATTTGAAAGCCACAGAGGCCCCCTGACACTTTCATGTGATTCATGTGCCATTTGGACACATAAGATGGTGCCATTTTGGTCACATAAAGACTGGCGTTCAGACAACAGAGTTCAATATATAAAGCTATACAACGAAATCATGCAATGACCACAATAAAGATGTCCAGATGCATTCCCCCCAGGCACTGGCTTTAAATATAAATACAAACCTCCCCCTACCTGCACTCTCCTTTTTGGCCCAGGACTATCTGCTTTCTAACAAAAGCAACAGTAAAAACAGCCTAGACTATAAACTTTGCTTTATTTGTATTAATCACAGCAAGAGTGCATATTATTCCCAATCCCCTATGATGTTCCAGATCTGTACTGATTCACACACAAAAACTCTGAAGTGTTTTTACAACCGATATGCAATTCTGAGTCCTTGGTAACTCATGTTTAAATTTATTTATATATTTTAATTCAATATTTTATTGATTTAATTTATTTTAAATAATACGCCAATAAAATGGACGGTGGATGCTGCTATTTTAATATATGAAGCAGTCCTGAGCAGAAGGAGCTCCGGAAAGCTAGAGGAGGCTTCTTGATTCGCAACAGAAGGACGCTGAAGCTTATCCTACCACATTTTCTACACTCATATGGTTAAAACATATGGCAAGTGCTTTTCATTGGACATAGACCACATTAGGAGAAATATCCTGACAATTAAGAGCTGTTCCACAGTCCAAGAGATTGTCTCAGAAGGTAGTGGACTCTCCTTCCACTGGGAGGTTTTTAAATAGAGCTTGGATTGTCATCGGTCAAGGATGCTTCAGCTATTGATTCCTGCACTGGCAGGGAATTTAACTACAAGATCCTTAGGGTCCTCTCCAACTCTACAATTCAGTTGTTCTACCTTCCTATGGCTTCTGGCACAGCTTAGAATCCCCATTACAAGTTTGCATCAGCTTCATTCTTTGTTGGATCTACAATGGGCTAGACATACATTCAGAACTACAGGAATAACAATTATCTCTACTAGTAAATCCATTTATGAAAGTGAACAACCATAATTAATCAAAAGTAAATCTGGCTTTTAAGGTGAAACTGATCTGAAACTGATCAGCTTTCTTGTTAAAGGATAAATTAAAGCTGTTTTAGTATTTTATGAGAAAGAGGGTAGCGAAATTCATGCATAAGTATAATTTTAAGGAGTCTCTTAGGTACTTAATAACTAATTAATTCATTGTGGCATAAGCATCGATAGACTAGAGCCCACATTGTCAGATATGTGGAACACTATGCGAAGTCAACTAGAGGAACCAGAACACGTTTCCACATAGCAAACCAAATGCATACTAGATTTTTCCCTTCTCAATATCTAATATTGCTTGAGATTTTCACAAATAATCCCTTAAAAAGCTGGAGTGCTGTCATACAATATTGTTGATACCTGAAACAATGGCAGACAAGTATATACTAGCATAGTAAGACATATAAAAGAAGACACCGCTTTTAAAAAGAAAGTTCACACAATGTGAAAAGTTCCGACCTTTAAAATGAATTGTAAAAAACAAAAAATGGGAATAATGCTGATTCAATGTAGACTCACTGAAGAGTGATGGGGGAGAACCCCTGTAGGGTTGTCATTTCGTTTTAATATTTTAACTATCAATGTAGACTCACTGAAGAGTGATGGGGGGGGACCCCTATAGGGTTGTCATTTCATTTTAATATTTTAACTATTGATGCTGTCCTCTGAAGATGCTGCCAACAGAGACTGGCAAAACGTTAGGAAGAAAAACCTTAAGAACACAGCCAAACAGCCTGAAAAACCTACAGCAACCATGTTGATTTATGTGTTGCCCATCATTGTTTTCATTCAAGGTAGACTCATATGGCATAGAACTATGCAAGTAGATATTCATGTTTTTAGGCAAAATCAAATACTTTTTTAAAAAAAACTATATTATTTTCCTTCTTTCAAGTTATTTGCGGTTGCCATGTTAACCAGCAGACTTACAGAAAACAATTTTCAGCAAGACACAGCAGATGTTAACTTCAAAGCCAAAACACTAACATTATTAAGCCTCAGTAATCCAAAAAACAAACAGTTCACAGGAGTCACACTATAAAGTAACACCTCTTTTATGTCTATCCTCCCTCTTTCTTTCCTTCCAGATGGCTCTTTGTTTATTTGTACCACCGCCTCGCACTCTCCTGTCACATGGCCCATGCCAGAATGATCAGAGCCTCCTCTTTGCTCAGTCAGCCAAGGAAAATGCCTGTTCTCCTTCTCAGACCTCAGTTGCAATGCAACTGGAGACTATATGCATTCAGCTCCTGCAGAGGGCTGGTCCAGGCAGTGCTTATTACCAAAAAGAGAATAGGAGTGAAATGACAAAGCCCACTTCTTAATCCTAACATTCCCATCTGTGGTGACCCTTCAGAACAGGAAAGCAGAGAACTTCGTAGCAGTGGTGCTTTCCATCTGATTTTTTTTACGCAAGGTTTTATTTTTACTGTTTTGTTTAAAAGAAGAGTAAAATTCGCTCAATTTGTGTATTAAAAAGATAAGAAAATATGGAGCTTATATGAAGTTGGAAGAATCCTTATATACATGTTCAAGACAACTTTTTTTGGTGGAAGGTTATCCCTAGCTTTTTGAGCCTTATGGAAGGAACTGCTGAATAGTATCTGGGTCAGAAAGGCATTAAGTTTCATGCTCCTGCCTCCATGAACTAATATCTTCTGTCACATGATCAGTCTCAAACTACAGCTGAAGATATTCCATTCAGAAAAATATATATACCGCATTTTTTGCTCCATAAGATGCACTTCCCCCCAAAAAAATGTGGGGTGGAAAGTCCGTGCGTCTTATGGAGCAAAGACAACAATTTCGTCCCACTGGCCCCATGGGGGGGAGTGTCACAAGGGTCCGGGTGAGCCTTCCAGGACCCTTGCGACGCTCCCCCCACACCCCACGGGGCCAGCATGGGCGGAATCGCCAGCTTCCAGGTCCAGGGGGGGGGAGCTTTGCAAGGGTCCTGGAAGGCTCAATCGGACCCTTGCAACGCTCCTCCCACACCTGCACGGGGCCAGCGCTGGCGAAATCGTTGGTTTCTGGGAGTCTTTTGAGGTTTCCTGAGCCTCAAAAGACTCCCAGAAACTGGCGATTTCACCCCCCTGGCCCCGTGGGGGGTGGGGTGGGGTAGCCTCGCAAGGGTGAGCCTTCCAGGACCCTTTCGACGCTCCTCCCACCCCCACACGGGGCCCCCAGAGGGGGGGGATCACCAGCTTCTGGGACTCTTCTGAAGCTTCCCAAGCCTCAAGAGTCCCAGAAGGTGACGATTTCACCCCCTCTGACCCCTGGGGGGCAGAGTGAGTCTCTAAAGGGTCCTAGGGTGTGTTCCAGGATCCTTTAGAGACTCACCCTCCCCCCCCCCCCCGGGGGGGGAGGGGGGGCAAACACGCCCGCC